TCTCTCTCTCTCTCTCTCTCTCTCTCTCTCTCTCTCTCTCTCTATCTGACAATGTTAACATTACAAAACGAATTCTCGTGTTCTATGCACCTTTAATACTCTAAGTTGAAAATGACACAGACTTAGATCTTTATTTTGATCGTTATGTGGTAACGTTCAACTTGGTATATGATCTTTGGCTTAAGTGGATAAAAAAATAATGTATCCTACATGGCATATTGTAGACAATTCTAAAAATAAATAGCCGCTCGACGATTGTTCGTAACAAATATATCCTAATCTTATACGCCTACATTACGCATCGACGTTTTACAGTGTATGAATGAATGATGGACCGAGTATTTTCATCAAACTGCTAATTACAATGGCAATGAGCACAGGAACTTTAACTATTAAGTTGTCTTATTTGTACAAGTATCAACATATCGCCTTTTTTCGCGAATCACTAATCTCTGCCGATAAACCTAATAATCCAAGTCTTTGCGAGTACATGTTAAGAAACTAATACTTATGGCGTGCGCATTGTCTCACTCGGATGAAAGGAACGCGCTATAAAATAACATCCAGCGGATGTATTTTAATTTATTTTATGATTAAAAAGTCATTGTTAAAGCTCGTCGTCGTCGTCGTCGTGAACGACGCGCGTCTCATCTGTTTTCGTCGTGCTGCTTGAGGAGGTCGCAGAGCGCGGTGATGTACGTCTGGGCCATCTGCAAGGTCTCGAATTTGCTGAGCTTGTGGTCGGCGCCGAGGCTTGGCACGACCTCGCGCAACTTGTCGAAGGCGTCGTTCAGGCCGTTCATCCGCCGACGTTCCCGAGCGTTTGCCGCGAGACGTCGACGTTTAAGGACACTCGGCGAGGGCGGGACATCTCGCGATCTTCTGCGGTTTTTCCGGGGGCTCGACTGCGTCGGCTCGATCTTCTGCAAGCGACGCACATGCGTTAAACCCTACGGGATAGATATCATTTGCGCGGGCCGCTCCTTCTCCTTTTCAGGAGCTAATTATTAAAGGATTAGAGCGATAGAGGCGAGAATTGCCACTGCCCGGCGACCTCTCATCATCGCGTTAATTCGCGTTCGCGTTAATAATCGCGTATGAACCTACCGGGGTGGATATGTTGCTGTCCCAGCAGGTTTCGCCGCTAAGATTTCGTAGGCCAGGTTCCTCGGCGCCAGCGTTAACGAGATCGATGCCGTGGACTTGTGGCTCCTGGGGGGGTGTTTCGTAACACCGATGCCAACTGGTAGCCGATGCGTTGTAATCCGCCGAATTCTCCTCGTAAACGTGGATACGCGCTGCGCTGTTACCATAATCTGGCGAGTAGTGGGTCTCGTATCTGCTGGGTTTTTAAAATCTCTTCTTTTATCGATCGTTTATTTGATATTTATCGCTTTGTCACGAACATCACGATTGCCAATTAAAGAAAATAAAGAATCTAAAGTCGATACACTTTGAAATATGAATTGTGCCATAATCATGAGAATAAAGGATTATCATCAATTGCACAGAGGAGAAACTTTGACATTTGATTAACTTCTATTTTATCGACTAAGGATTGTCATATTTTTTTCTCAAGATTTTCATTAATTTTCCTTAACGGAAGAATTGTTCTTTCCTTCTTTCTTTTTCCATTCTTTTCTTTTCTTTTCAATCGGTTAATCTTATCTATAAATGTATAATAGTAGCTTGGATCTTCGGTTATTATGATAATTTATTGAAATACGCCAACAGACAATAGACTATATGGGAATACTGCGGCGTGGTTAAAAAAAAAAAAGAAGAAAAAAAAAAGAAAAGAAATAAAAAGTCATTAATTTTGAGAATAATTGTTGACAAGCGGTAACAAGACTAGTGAGTAGAAAGTAAATGAATCGAAGGAATGTCGAATGCCTGCATGAAACTGGCACTTGCCTCTGTACTTTTTAAAAACACCTCGTTGGTCTGGCGAAAAATGTAAGGGCAAAATAGATCGCAAAAATGATCGCAGAAATGATCGGTAGCACAGCGAGATGTCGACGGATAAGGTGAAGGAAAAGCGGTGCAACGTACCTTTGGGGCGTTAACAAGCCGTAGGACGACCTCTCGTAGCAGCTATCCACGGATTTCTGGTAATCGTGGTGGCTGTGGACGTCCCGGTGATCGGTCAGGTCGCTATCGTCGGAGAAGTCCCGGCAGTAGGAACTCCTGTGCTCGTACTTGAGGGGCGTATAGGGCGGAGACGAGTAGACGACGTAGGGCTTCTGGGGCAGTGTGTAGGCCATGGTGATGATCGTCGGGGAGGCCGGCCTGTAGCTGCCGCTGGTGATGAGTGCCATCCTCATCCGGCTCAGCTGATGATGCCACGGTGATGCGCGCCCCAGCGAGTGCCGGCGACGAATGGGGCGCGTGCCGAGCGGCGCATTAACATCTGGTACCTTGCGGCGCTGCGGCTCATCCCTTAGATAATGCGCACCTGGTGCGGGAGCCCTCCGTGTAGCGCCGCCCTCCCACTGCTCCTTTGCGGCCGCTACTCCCATTCATGCACTTGCGCTCTCTCTCTCTCTCTCTCTTTCTTTCACTCGCTCTTTTGCCTCTCGACCGCTTACGCTCGCACATTGATATCCTCCTCTTGTCACGCACTTATCCTGGCCGCAGTAGCTTGCTCTCTCTCTCTCTCTCTCTCTCTCTCTCTCTCTCGTTTGCTCCTTGCGGCTTCGAAAAGTATGTACTTCGTAATCAGAGTTCTTTGTTGGGAATCCCCGGACGCGGGCCGAGGAAGTGGACCTCGACCGCCGATGCCTATTGATTCTGTGTGTATATCTTTTGCTTCCTTGCTTTTGTGCTTTTTTCCCTTTTTTCCCTTCTTTAAGTTTCTTCTCCTTCGTCGAGTTGCGTTTTAATTTCTATGAGTTTTTAAAAAAAGCCAGTGGGGTTTCAGTTAATCAGGCTTTTTACCCACTTTTCCAACAATATTTAGGCAAATTGGAGTGATATACGCCAAAGACACAAAATATCCTTCTTGAACATTTCATTTACTGCATCGATGTTAATAGTTGAAGTTTTAAGGCTGTGCTGTTAAGGAAAGCGCGAAATTAACGAAGCGTGTGATATTACCTTAAAATCTACTATTTTGAAAAGATAAAATCCACCATTCATTTCTTAACACGAACTGATCCTGCCAAATATATAACTGTCAAATACAACTGATTTATGCATATATATATTCAATAAAATTCTTCCTTTTCTTCTTCTTCTTCCTATTACTACTACTACTACTATTATTATTATTATTATTATTATTATTATTATTATTATTATTATTATTATTGTTGTTGTTATTATTGTTATTATTGTTATTATTGTTGTTATTATTGACATAGTTGTATAGCTTTCAAAAGTGAAAAAAGTCCATAAAAATAAAAGCGCTCCTGTTCTCTATTGTTTTACTATTTTAAGCAATAAATCAATCAAAATTATATCTACAAATTAATGAATTATTAGTAGTTTAATTCAGTAGCATTCAAAAACATTGTTCTAAATATATGAACTGTTAATTACATTATAATGTATAAATAATAAATATGATTATTATAAGATTAGAACTCGTAAAGCTTAATTTAGTATTTTATAATTATCAATTATGATAATTCATAATGTTTACCTGAAATTTATGTATATATGTATAGTACGATAAATTGCGCGGCAACTTTATGCCATTGTATTTTTGTTTAAAGTATTAAAAAATGTAATATATATACATATATGCCCGAATATATTTTATAATTATTAAATAATCATGTTCAAGACTAAATTTAAATTGAATTATCACAAAAATATATGGAAAATGCAAAAAATACGTTTAAATTTGATTAAAATAAACTGCATTTGAAAGGTTTGTAAATACTTCACATGAAATATTTCAAATTACAAAATGGAATAAATTAAAATATGACTTTATTATTATGAATCCCAAAAGAGTAATTTATTATTATGTCAAAAGAAAATTATTGAAACTCTTTACGATAATATATTGAAATACATTATATTATTATTATTATTATTATTATTATTATTATTATTATTATTATTATTATTATTATTATTATTATTATTATTATTATTATTATTATATTGGTAATTTGATACAAGTATTAATCGATTACAATTTAATAATCAAAGTTAATTTATTAATAGTAAGTTCTAATTGTAACGAACTAAGATAATATATTTTCTTAATTAAATTATATATACTTTCTTATAAAGGAATGGTTGAGGACACGAGTTGTGACAAATTTCTATTTGCTTTAACATTACGCAGGTAAAATAATAAGATCAAGCATATCGAAACTGTTCCAGGCACTCTTGTGATTTGAGAGGGCACACATAAATGCACAAGTACACACGCATACGCTAGCAGATATTAATTTTAGTTATCAGTTTGTACATAGCTGAACGTCACGTTCAGAAGATGGGAGGGTGCGAGAGAAACAGCGTGCATTCACCTCCGCTCAATGTCGCGTGCACTTAAGTGAGCGTGTAATGTCCAAAATTCGACTTTTTATAAATTTTCAATTTTTCTGACTAATTTTCGTAAATTTTGCAAAATATTTTCGCAAAGTAGGTTATTTAAAACTCAATTTTTTGACGGTAAATCTCTTAAGCTCTGCACGAATGGCTCCTTAAAATATTGTACGAGTCTTAATTATTTGAAAATCTAATTAGCTAATATATCCAAATATATCTAAATTTAGTATAAAATGTAACTACAACATGTCGTGAGATAATTCCTCATGTTATCTCGATTGATTTATTTTAATAGACATAATAAGAAATTTTTTGACAGCTAATAGTAAATTTCCAACAATTATGTGAATAATAAAATAATAGGAGAGATCGATGGTAATATCGATTAAATACATAGATTTACAAATATTAATTATTTATAAACATATTTGTAGAAATTTCTTTAATTCACTATAATATTGCTAAGTATGATTAAAATATACATTACTATAAGGTGACGTATTGCATCTGGATATTTAGAAATTTTTTAATTTATGTACAAATTGTGTATGCATAAAGGATATGTTAACATACGTACTAATAAATTATTTGAACTATCAGAAGTTGGTAATAAACATATTATCATCCGTATCATGCAAAATAATGCAAATCAAGTACAAAGACATAATATGAATAGTATTCTATAGGAAGTGAAATAAAATTATCCGTTATTCGTTAATTTTTTACGTATGAAAATATGATGAAAAAAAGAATTAAAATTTTTTTATAATGATAGAAAGAAGATTAAAATAATTATTTTATTGTTGAATAATTCAGAATATGATTGAAAAGATTTTGAAAATAATAATTTTAAAAGATTACAAGATTTTAAACTGACGTATGCCTGCATATTTTAAAATAACAATAATTTATTATATATTAAATACGATTTTTTCTTTTATTATGATTTTTATTATGATTATGATCTTTATATTTATTATGATCTCTTAAATTCATCTTACTATAAATGTGTATTCAATAAATTGTTTTCTCTATGCATATACATACACATCATTTTTATATATTTTTATATAAAATTATTATGTATTATATTCTTATATTAATTTTTATATAAATTCGTTGAAAAATAAGAATTATTGGTGTAAATAAATTTTCAATTCAAAGATATTTTCGTAATTATAATGTTAAACTTATTATATTACCATAATAAGTCCTATTACGCATTCATTTTGTTATGTAAATGGATTTATTAATTTATTGAGAATTTAATAGAACAATTAATAAAATTAAGTAATCAGTTTATAATAAATTAACAGAAAAAAGAAATTAATTGTTCAAATTACAATGTATTATTTAATAAGAATATACTTTGTTGTCAAAATTTTTAAAGATCTTTAATCTATAATATTGAACTTTATTGAATGAAATATTAAGAAAATATTAAAATGTTGGAAATTTTATTTAACAATCGAACTGACTTAGTGGTTTAAAGAAATTTTGGAAATATTTATACGTTAAAAAATATCTTAAAATCATTTGACTTAAAACATGCTTATTGCACAGTGTGTTCAAGTATATAATTTAAATGATTTCTCTTTTTTATGTTTCTCATAAATTATCTCAAGAACGAATTGATATAAAGTAATGTTTGTTTTTTTCATAATTGCAAGTCATTTTAAGCGTACTTTCACGTCATTCTCGTAAAAGAAAATGGAATTAATCTGTATTATAAAACAATTCAAATAAAAAACAAGTAATTTAAAAAAAAATTCATTTTCAAATAAAATTGTCAAAATTATCACAAAAACCTCAAATTTCATTAGTTTCTTTTATTATTTTTTATTATACGGACATATATGAATTATTCAATATCACAACAATTATTTTTTATTTATTATTTTTACAAATTAATACGTTTTAAATAATTAAATTAGACATTACGTATGTTGTATATACTTTAACTTCTTAAGTCTTCAACTTCAACTAAGTCTTCTAAAATAAATATTTAAAAAATATCGAAACGCATATAATTAATTAGCTAACGGGGCTTATATAATCTTGTTTGTGAATATTCAATGACGATCATTTGCAATTATGTATAAAGGTGTTTGATTATTTTCTAGAAATCTTGAACACGATGCAAATTTAGTTTTGTTTGATTGATAATCAATTTCACATTTAAATTTTGAGTTTTGGGACATGTAACTTGCTATTAATATAAATTTTTTAAAATACATGTACTTATAACTTCTCGTGTCAAATATTAAATTAGCTTACAATTGTTTTCGTAAATAATTAACGTATGCAGCTCTTCACTTGTAGCTGCAGTTTCATAATCATTCAATCAATGACATTTTATTTATTATCGAAAATAAATGTTATGCTAATTTCAATGTTAATTTTAACGACGGCTAATCTTTTTTAATGTAAATATTCAATAAAATTTATTATTTATTATTTATATGACGAGGAAATGTATGTTACGAATAAGATTCAAAATGTTAATTCTACGGTTGATTTTGAAGTAATTATGCGCTGATAGCTTAAGGAAACAAATGGAAAGACTTGAAATGTTAAATTATAAATAATCTAACGATAATATATTTAAAAAGATAATGCTTGCTTGTAGCTTTACATGTCTTGATTATTTAGAAATTTTACAAAGGTTCTATCGCATTGAAATATCAATTAAATAGTTTGATTATGATTAATCGACTAAATAGTTTGATTAAAAGTATTTCGAATGTAAAAATATTAATACTCGCCAATTGGCTAAAATTGTAGAATTATGCAATATGTACATCTTAATGATTTATAGATTTCCGAGCAAATACATCTCCCCTTTCATTTTGACATTTCATTATCTATATTTTGTTAAATATATGATTTTAAGTTAATACTAGTATGAAATTTCCTTAAAATATGATATAGTACGTTGTATTAGATTATATTCACTTTTTATATAAATTTCTATATTTAATTTTTAAAAGTTTAAAAATAATCTACTTGAACAGTTCAAATATTTGATTTTTCTTTTATTCTATTTCCTTATATATCAATCATAACAATTGATAGTTCATTTTTATTATCGTTATTAATTTACTTTTTGCAATCGGCTTGATGATGATACATTTAAGGCGTAGCATTCATTAATAAATATATAAAAAATATAGTAATATATATATATAAATAATCATTGCTAATATTTATCATTTTATGTATGCATTAAAATCAATTTGTTTGAATAAATAATTTACGGGCTCGGTCGCGTGTTCAAAAGATTATATAACCGTATGCTTACAAAGATAATTTTTGTTACATAAATTATTTATAATCACTGTTTGCCAATATAACACTTACATTACCCTTGAATATATTTTAGTTAGCAAAAACATTTTTATTTGTCTTGTAAATGGTTTAATCCATTGAGTTTTTATAAATATTTTGATAAACATATAATTGTATTTTACGTAAAATATTTCTTAATATTTAAAAATATTTTTATATAAATTTAAACATATAATAATTAAATATACATTAATATATTTTAATATAAATTTAAATGTATAAATTTATAATGAAAATCTTAATAAATTTCATAGTTACGTTAGTCTTGTTGAAATTAATGTTAGGTATCTAATTAACAATAGTGTTAATAATTATTTGTTTTGCTAGGTTTCCATTATTATTTATTTGCTCTTTATAAAGTCGAATTTTCGTAAAGTACTTATATTTTATTGTCATGTATCAGTTTTTCGAAGTTACATATAAAATTTCAAATAAGATGTAAGCAATAAAATTGTTTGATTATTTTTATAATGTAAAGAAAATTAAAAATATATTATATTCGTTAATATTACTTTACTTACAAATAATAATAATTGATTTTTTATTATTTTTTTTTTTATTTTTATTTTTATTTTATAATTTTTTTTTTTATTTTACTATTTATTTAATATACATTTTACTTGCATTTATATATCATAAAAATGATAAGTATTTTTTGAATTAATTTTTAACTAATACAATAAAAAACATTAATATTTAGGCTTTTTTTATGAAGTATTATGTATATTATATTATTTATAGTCAATTTAATTGACATAAATATTTTATTATTATTACTATTTTTTACATTGGTTGATTTATCATTTGATTCGAAAATATATAATTTATAACAATTAACAAGTAATTTATTTGAATTTAATGAAGGTTATATTGATAAGACATAATTAAATATCTAATATAAAAAAGATTTATTACATTACGAATAAGTGAATATGTACAAAATACTGGAAGTATTAGCTTGCATCGAACCTTCCAATACCAAATAATAAATTTCTTCTTGTAAAATGTAATGCAAGAATAGGTGAATTTTTTGTACCAAAACTTCTTAATAAGTATGATTCAGTGCATGTTTTGACATCAGGATTATGCGAAACATTTACATCTTCTAAGCTCATCTCTTCGGCTAATTTTGTAAAATCCCAGAGTTTAATCGAACAATCTAAGGAACCTTTAATATGAAAATTTTTTTTATTTATCTAAATATTGTCTTGTATTTAAAAATGTATTTATTAAGATACAAGGAAATATAATTGAATTTATTTATACAATTCAAAATACAAATATAAAAGAATGGTTTGTTAGAATTAAAAATAAAATGTTTGAAAATGCATTAAAAATATTAAATTTTAATTCTCACCAGATACAAGAATGTTTCCATCCCTACTAAATGAAAGGCAATATACACTTGCTGTGTGGCTCGGGAGTGCCGCGACTAAATGTCCATGTGCAAGATCCCATATTAATATCCGTGAATCTGCCCCAGCAGACGCTAGAAATCTTCCTTCAGCCGAAAAAGCTAAAGAATATATAGGAGCCTTATGACCTGTCATTAGTCTCACTTGATTACCGGAAACGCAATCCCATAAACGAATTGTCATATCACTAGATCCTGAAGCTATATAATTTGAATTAGGGTGAAATTGTACAACCTATACAAAATAAAATGATTCTATTTAAAACGAATTAAAATTTCTTTTACTACACTGATTTATATAGTACTTACATCCACGTCTGAGTAATGACCAGCAAATATTCTAAGTGGTTGGTGGGAATCGGTTGCCCAAAGCCTTGCTGTTTTATCATGTGAACCTGTTGCAAAGTAATAACCATGAGGAGAGAATTTGACTGACCATACAGGAAATAAATGACCCTTGTAGCAAACAACGCAAGTCCATGTATGAAGAGACCATAATCTTACTGTAAAATCAATTTAGTTAAAATAATATTGGAAACCTTTACTTCTAATGGCTTAAAGTAACTACTAGGATGATATACCTGTGCCATCTTCTGCGCACGAGAGTAATAAATTTCTATCTGGACTGAATGATAAACAATAAACAGGCCCACTGTGCCCGTATAATGTACGAACTGTTTCTGCTGTCTTCTCATCCATCATTCTCACTAAAACATCCTCTGAAAATAATTTAGTTATAAATATATATAATTATATAATAATTGATGAGCCTCACTATTATAGTTAAGATTTTAAAATACATACCAGCTTCACGTTCAACATCTGCTAATTGCTCACCATCTTTCATTATTCTTAATTTTTGGGGAACTAAACTCCAAACCTTAATTGCAGAATCATTGAAACCGACTGCTAATAAGCTTGAATCTTCTGCAATTTCAGCTGATATAACTCTTGAATAAGAAAAAATTCAAATTACATATACTTTCATAAAGTATAAATTATGAATGGAATAAAAACTTTCTTACGTATTTACGGAATTCATTAAAGTGTAAAAACATATGGATGGTAAACTATCAGGACCTAGTACAACTCTTTTAGAGGCTTCCCTCAATGCCTTAATCTTTTCTAGTTTATCAACATCTTTTCTAAATAATAAATTAAAAGAATTATTTTATTACTTATTTGTAGTACAGCGCTACTTACAAATTAGGTAAAGGCATTCTTCCAATTGGAGGAGCGTTAGGATCTGATTTAGTTTTTTTAGAAAATAGTGGGTCTTTCTTAGGCTTTTTTTTCTTTGGTTTGTCAGAATCAGGCCCACCATTGTCTTCTTCTTCTTCTTCGGTAACCGATGGAGGAACACATTGAATATCTGGCTCTTTCAAAAGTCCATAATAAACTTTTGCTTTATTATCTATTTCAAAAATTAAATATTACTTTCAATCATATGTAAATTTAAAACTGACATTTTATCAATTTTTATGTATAGTATTTATTTATTTACCTTGTCTAGTTGCTTCTCCTACAAGAGCACCAGAAGTTGCTTCGATTTGATTCTTATTTCTTGCAACACCTTCGTACATGTCAAAATACAAGTGCTCCTGTATTATATTCAATAAAATACTATGTTTTTTTTCTTGTAAATATCGTTTTAATATTGATAAAGTATCGCGAGACATTCTGATTATAAATTGATTTGATCTGTAATAGAAGTTTGCATATACGATAATTTGTATAACAAGTGATATTTAAAAAATTCTGTTTTCGCTATATTAAAATTTGATATTATTTATTTTATTTTATGAAATTCATTACTTACTTAAATGTATCAGTTAATTCATTACCAGCCATATGTTCACGTTTCGTTACGTGCGATAGTTTTTTCAAGTCATTTTGATAATATTCTTCTAAATTAGGACTATACTTTTCAACAAGTTGTTTTCCTTCATCAGAGTGATTATTATATATAAGTTCCAAGTACATGTGTACTAATACTGGATATAAAATTGTTCCTAATTCATGCTGTAATTATTACCAATTTATATTTATTACAGTATTGTTGTTTTATTTCCTAAATCAATTAGGTTTATCGATATAATGACATTGAAAATTGAATTACTTTGTAAATATCTAATGATCCTTCAACAAATTTTTTAAGTTCTCCATAGGATTTTTCATAAAGAGCCGGATCACCTTCGCTCTTATATGCTGATAACACACTATTAACTTCCGAATCACTTTGTTGAGCATCTTCAATCGATACGTCAATAAGATTAGCCTCTTTTCTAAATAATTCTTCGGTATCCTAAAGATAAAATAAATGTCCATTACATTACAGTAAATGAAAACAAATTTAAAGGTTATAATGTTAATAAGTTCCAAGATCGTTAAATACCAACCTTAAAATTGTATTTATGAAGTAGCTGTAACAGAGCAAGCATAGTACTTTTGTCCTTGTCCATTTTTTAATTTGTTGATTTAAAATATATCGAGTATTTAATGGAATATTACATTTATTATTAAGGCCGGCTAGATACAACACAATGTAAATTGATTTCTCACGTCAATCGGTTAATTTACCTCGGACCTTTACTTTCCGACTTTCTCCGAACTCGCACTCGTCCAATGTACTTTTACCAAACGTATACAGTAGCGCCACATTGCGGCAACTCGTAATATTTCCAAACATCTGTCGAACATAAATTAAAAAATATGTAGCTCCTAATAAAATACACCACACGCCCACACTCTTAAATATGTAATTCATTTTAATTGCTGAAAAATTTCCAATTTTCTTTACCGACTTCATGTTACAAACTTTAGTTTGTACGACCAAGTGGATACAAGTATGAGATATTTTTATACTTGAATGCTTGCAGTAAATAACTTATGTGTATTCTCATTTTTCACAATAGTCCTTGATATAATTGGTTTACCATTTAACGTTAATAAATATAAATAAAAAATCCATATTTAAATAATGAAACAAAATTATTCATAAGATGTATATATTTTACATTCACATAAAGTATCATTAATCATCAAATATGAATTCATCAAATAGTTTCAATGCTCTACAAACTTATTTGTTACGTTACATTTTGTTATTGAACGCATTAATTCTTAAAACTATCAACGATTAGTAATTAATACAATAGTTATAGCAATTTATGATTTTATTTATAATGAGAATTTTCATATAAATTTTAATGATAAATGTGAAAAAATATATTAATTCCATTATATTGATACAGTTAACGTTATATATATAAGAAATATTAATGTTAGTTACTGTTAATTGCTCATTACATGTGCTTCTAAATAAACTTTATTCAATTTTAAACTAACGAAATTTTGGTATATTTCTTATTTATTTATACAATATGTGTGTGCATCCGATACTCGATATTTTTCAAAGAATATAATCGAAATTTCTTATAAATTATGAGACAAAGTGATATTCAAACTATTCCAAATACATTTCTTCTATGAACAAATATTGATCGAATCTTTGAATTTAATCAAAACATTTTACGCTTTGTTTCTTAAAATAATAAAATCCTTTATCATTTAATAAAACGATATAAAAACCTTTTAGTTTTCTAAATCCTGTCACTTTATTTATTAACAATAAATAAATAAATTCAATATTTATAGTACAATTTTTATTGAAAATTATATTGCGATTATTTATTTTATCGATAGTATAGTAAGTTTAATAATTTTTATATAAAATATAATAATTTTTAATTTTCAAATATTTATAATGCAATTATTTTTTAAATGAGTAACAACTATGTTGGAATTGATGTCACAAGCATTAAATGTTAATTATATTTTCACCTAAACGTAGAAGGTTTATCCGATAATATGTGATATAATAAGTATAGAGTGTTTTAGTGCTCTTTTATTACATTAAATAGTCATGGAAGGTTTTAAAAGTACCATTACATATTTCAATGATTAAGTTTTTTTTTTTTTTTTTTTTTTTTTTTTTTTTTTTTTTTTATGTCAACGCACGTAATAAGTATCAATTAAATCAATGCCTAATTAATTTAGCCTAACAGTATGGGCTTTAAATTTGGGCTTTGTTTGATGGGTGAGAGCTAATTGCGTATATTGTGATTTTGAAGACATATTAATGAGATCGAAAATGCTATGCGAGTAAATGCAAATCTTATCTTATGGTTATAATAAGTAAGACAATATTATTGAAACGTTAATATCCGCATATTTTAGGAATTTCTTTAATCTTCTTCTTTAATAATACTTCAATCTCATAATTATTCGTTTCCATAATTTAGAATATTTTATAATAAATTAAATATTTTTTTGATTGATAAAAAATTTGTCATGATATCGTTATAATTTTTAGTAGCATAATTAATTGACAAATTAAATTTTATATTATAATTTCTATTTAATTTAGTAATAATAATAATAATGATTGATCAGTACAATAATAATTATATATAGTTTTGTTTATATCCCTATTTATTAGTAAAAAATATTTGCTTAGATTGCTAGAAATATTTATTACAAAATTATTGTCGGCCTAGTGTATGTAGTTTTTAATATAAAATTGTGGATCGATCTAGAATAGAGTAGTTTCGAAAAAAAAGAAGTAAAACAAGAATATCTGTTTGAAAGTTTTTCGGTATAATGTCTGTTTGATATATATGTATCATTTGGAGAAAAATACGAATAATGAAGAATTCTCTCGAAATTTTACGATCTCCCCGACAGCCTCCTCGTTCCCTTTACTATGTGGCAATAGCGCATTAATTATAAATCCGGGAATTAAACTGGCATGGGGCCCGAGATTGCTACATAGTGCGGCCCCTGTGCACGTGCTTATGGTTTATCCAGCGAAAACTTAAGATGAGAGCCGAGTGACGGCGCATCCCGTCTTTTAATGTCCTCCGTCCTTTATTTGGTAACGTATGAGATGTTTATTGCTTACCCGATTAAGTGGGTCGCTGCTGGTTCGGTATAAACAAATTGCTATATTTATAATATCGTATTTATTGTTTAATGTAACCACGCACGCACCCGTTAGCTATTTGCCATTTGATTTGATTTGATTGATCCTTAAAGCAGAAACTCTCGTCTAAGTCAATACTATTTTCTTCTTCTCGCAGATGTTGCATAATAAACAAAAATAGATTTAACGAATTTGCATATAGATTAAACTCTTTTTTAAAAATAAATTTATGATGGAATGAAATAAAAAAAAAAAGGGAATATAAAATGGCGTTTACAGGGTATATTTTTAATTTAGATTTTGCACAAGATATTCAAATAAAATACAATTTTAATTTAAGGTTTTGTTTATTTATCATTTTAGAATCTCTTTATTTAGTCATGCATATATTTAAAAACGAAACAGATGAGTGAATTTTGTTATTTAATCGAATGAAATTGAATGAAAATTGGTATGAATTTTAATAAATGTCAATTGAATACTATCAAAGCTCCGTTATAATTTTTAGTATAAAGTTTATGGACCGAAAACAAACATCTGAAAACAGCGTTCGAAAAATGAAACAGGAAATAAAAAAAAAAGTGTATAAAAAGTTTTTTCTTCGCCTGTAGTATCTATATATTAAATGGTTTATCAAGGATTTGAAATCTTCATGCATAATATAACAAATTTTCAAATTACCTCAAGCAGCGCTGCTATGGCGCATTATAATTGTATTACTTTTCAAGGACGCAATCAACTTCTTCTCAACTTAAATGGACTAACTATTCAAGAAGTTCTGGTGCAGATATTAATTTGAAATGCTTGATAATGAGATAATTATTTTTTAATTAATTTACTATGGCAATGTAAGATTCTACTCGTTAATATTTCATTAGTTGAACTTTTTTGTATTATACATTAAACAAATTGTTTCTTTTTAAGAAGTCTGATTGATTTTTTAGGTCGAATTTTTGCGGAATGCACGAATACACGAATGTATGAAATGGTAAATGAACCCATTAGAAAGCATTGATTGATAGGCGTAGGCATAGAGTGGCCAGTATAGTTAATAAGTCATATCAATCAAAGAGCTACTTATCGTAAATAGCGTAAAGATAGCAGCGAATAACAAAACATTGACATAGAGAGCGAATAAGATAATATAGATTATAATATTTATAATATAATATAAGTCAATTAGGTATTAGCGTAAGATATATTTTAATTATTTGACGAAATAGATTGCTGCCTGTAGTTTATTAGCGTCTCTGTTGAGGATGTGCGATGTTGCACTCGATGGCTCATCGAGTGACTTCCAGGATGTAACTGACGGCGTTGGAAGTGCTCATAACTCTTGATTTTCCGGAAAGGTACCGTAGTCCTGGCATTCAACTACCACGACGTCAAGTCCCTCTATTGCGAGCATTGCTCGAACGTTTGCGACTTGAAATGTAAGGAGTCGAGTTTTCGATTCATTGCGAGGATATGTATGGTTGAGCGATAAATAAAAAGTAAATGATAATTTTCCTGTCGATGCCCATACAGGTTTTGGATAACTGATGATGCGTGACAGATTTTCGATTATATTCTAGGATTTGTTGTGGCCATGGGCAGACTAATGACCATTATGTAGCGGAGATAATACTGAATGATACTTTAACGCTTAATGAGCAGTAAATTGCATGTAAAGGTAAGGAAAACGATATAAAGTTTTCTTTGTTACGCGATACCCCACTTGTCACTCATGATGGAAATCTCGAAGTATGCAGCTTACTTCTTCGATTTGTTATATAAAGTTTATTTTCATTCGTGTTAAAGGATTCTTAATATGAGTACTTGGAAGCAATATGTACATTTATTATATATATATATATATATATATATATATATATATATATATATATATATATTACATATTGCCTAATATAAAAATCAAATTTCCTGCGAGGGTGAACGTCATTTCAGTAAGTGCAGATTAATGGAAAAGAAAGTGTTTGAATTATTAAGGAAAGCAACATACTCAGATTACATTTGCATATAAATGTATATAAATGTTATGTGTTTACATAAAGCGTAAGTTTACGCAACAAAATTGTTAACTATTATCTATGGATAATAAGTAGGGTTATAAAAGTGGAAATTATGGGACTCATGAAAAAACATTTACAAATATAGGTTTACAAACAATAGATAAAATTAAAACCGTGAAAGCTACTATTCATTCTTGTGTTTAATCGATATAAATCTGTTTTCCACTTTTACAGAAATTGGTTTTTTTTCTGTATATTAAATCAATGAAATTATGAGTTTGTATAAACATAGGAATATTTATAATATATTACTTCATAAGCAATATAACCATAATGAGTAATATATTGATATTTGTTGAATATTATTTTAATTTAATCACGATTGTCTTAATATAAAAATATTATTTGATCTAGTAATAATAATTATTTATAAATATTAATAAATCATTACATAGGGTTTTATAAAAAATACATAGAGAAATTGTATTTACAAATAGTTTGAATAAGGTATGTTTGTAGGAATTAAATGTATTTACATGTAATTTAGTATATACTTTAGCGTTTTTGAGAGTTTGATAATACGCGATAATAAATTATTATACTATATTAATTAAAATTGGATTATATCGTGTGATGTTTGAAAATATAGTATTTAATATTTTTAATGTACTTATAATTAAAATGAAATATAGATGTTAAAATATTAACATTCCGCTTTACTCTTAATATGAAAATATTCAAATGTTTTAAGTGATTATATATATATATATATATATATATATATATATATATATATATATTATATTTAATATAACATCTTATATTTTTATCATGTATAATGATATACTATTTTAATGTAACTCAAAGTATATAATATAATGTTTCAATAATTACTTTAATATATTTTATAAACCTAATTATTTAAAAAGAATGCACTTTTAATTATTTAATATTTTTTATATTGTTTCACAATGAAAAGATTTCATGTTATTAATTTATATTTATTTTAACACGTAACATAAGCACAATAAAAATAATGTGAAAGCTTTCCATAAAACATATCGTTGTTCTTTTTTTATATATATATTATATGGAATGTTTTTCGCGTACATTAATACGTTGACCTACTCATTGTAAGTATATTTTGTTCCAGTAATATTATTAAGTACTAATTAAGTATATTTTTGCTTTATTAATATTATTAACTAATAAATAAGTGCATTTAGTTTTATTGTTAAAAGATTTTTAAAAAATAGTGTGAAAAATAAAATATTATTATAAATATATTATTACAAATATTTGTATAAATGTAAATTTTATGCACATTTCTGTTGGAATGTTTGTCAATAATAAACTATCAAACTAGTTTGTTGCAATTTTATAGTTATGTATCTTATAGTGCAAAAAGCTTGAAGATAAAAAACATAATTAATTATGAAAGAATAGTAAACTTTTATAATAAAACTGTCGTTTAGTATAGCAAGAATATGTTTAAAAAGTTGAATATTATCCATTAACAGTTTAGTAAGTCTTATAAATACTAAATATAGTTATAACTTTTATATAGGTTTGATTGCGTAATATGAAAGTAAAAAATGCTTCAACAATTTCTTTATAGATTTGAAGTTGGAATTTTAAAACTTTTAATTGTTACGCTACTATATTTGAAAAGCAATTATATCTGGTAGTAAAAAATTATGGTTACATAAATAAATAAATTTATATATCTATATATATATAAAGTTAAAAATATTCTATAACATCTTCAAAGTTTCGCAAATTAATAATTTACCAACACAGAGAGTAATTATTTATCTGTACTTATAAACAAATAAATTAAAAGCATTGATTAGAAAAGAAACATTTCGTGATCTTATTTTTTGTTGATTCTGAAGTTGTATAAATCAAAACCCAAATAGTTTTCTCAATATGGTTCAACGTGCTGTAGCAAAAGTTATGCTATGAATACATCGAAACTTTATTGAAAGTTCATAAAATATCTGGTATCTAAGAATCTATTAAAAATTCATATGGAACATCATTACTGGGATATTATTATTATTATTATTATTATTATTATTATTATTATTGCGAATATACGATGATAAGCAAATATGAATCAAGGATCCAATGTATTCCGCAACATAAGTCGATAAAGTTCTCTTGCATTCACTTTTATATTTTTTTCAAGTGAAATCGCGGAATATCAAAATATTTTGGATAAAGTCTAGAGTTCGGGTACGAGGTAAAATGTTGCGTTTACCTGAACGGGTATGAAAGGTGATGATTATACAACAGATGGAGAAGCAGCCGATCGAGTTAGTAGCCAGCGAAAGGTCACGACGATAGATAAATTTCGGAGGAAGACCTCGCGCGTCTTCCCCTACTTACTGCACACAAGACTGGCCAGGAACTCGTTCTCTTTGTTAATTTCTTTGCGTCATCTTCACTTTTTTTTTTTCATTTCCTCTCATTTTAGTTGCCGTGGGCCATTAAAAAAAAAATCCCGTAAGAAGCGAAAGTGGGGTCATTCCATCAGCCAAGTATAAATTCATCCCAATCCCTGTTCATCTCACAATCGACGTTAAACCTTAGTCTCAATTTCATTTGATTCGCCGGCTCTGTTATCGCATTTACGAAAATGAAAATCTTTGTGAGTCTAGACATTTTTTTTCTTTTTCAAACAGTTATCGCTTTAGATATTTCAATTAATTAGCTTGTGTCTATAGCAGTGCACGTCTCGGCAATATTAATCATTTCAGTGATCAAATTGTTCTCTTTGATTTTCGTTTTTATAAGTAGCCTGTCTTATTTGCTTAGCGAGTAGTGACGAGTAAACCGCCAGGCGATAAATTCCGCTCGCTACAATAGCCAGTGACTTCTATCCCGAAAACTTCAATCGCACGAGATTAACAGGGTATATATTCACGATCATTGCAGGTTACCGTACTCGCCTTGGTTGCGTTGGTACGTGCCCAGCAACAGACTCTGCAACAGCCGATTGCGATTGTGCGCCAGGCCCAGGATATTTCCCCGGAGGGCTCCTATTCGTACAGCTACGAGACGGAGAACGGCATCGCCGCGGCCGAATTGGGCGAGCCAAGAGTCATCAACGAGGAGGGAGCGGCCGCTATCGCAGCTCAGGGTCAGTTCCAGTATACGGCACCCGATGGGACTCCTATCGCCGTAAGCTACGTCGCTGACGAAAACGGCTTCCAGCCTCAGGGCGCTCACCTGCCGGTACCCCAGCCCATCCCCGAGGCTATACAAAGGGCGCTCGATTATATCGCGACTCATCCCCAGCCTCAGGAACAGAGTAGTCAGTAGCTCTAGTGAGCGGCTAATTGGTTGGTTATACTTCCAGAGGCCCAATGATGAAATACTGCTCAACGCCATTTTTTTTTTTTTTTTTTTCACACAAAGTGTTTTAATCAAAGTGTTAATTATATCGATTAATGTGTATTGCTCTTTGTAAATTTCGACTTACTGCTATGTAGTAATCCAGTGCATAAATAACTTCAAAGACCAGTTATAGATTAATTTTGGCTATTTTTTTTTTATAATCCCTGCACCCATCTTTATGCTCATTTCATTGGGTACATCGCATTACTGAGAAAGGTCATGATATTGTAAATTATTAATTTAAAATTTTAATATCGATTGCTATGAGAAAGAAAATGTAAATAATATTTGTCTTATATTTATATAGTTTATTAAGTAAATTATTTAATGAAAATTTGAAAACTTAAATTATGTAGTCGTTGTTAACTAGAAATTGAAATATTTAATTATATATATAGTCTATCTGACAATAAACCGCTATAAATCTTAAATAAAATCAATTATGAATGTCAAATTGTACGTACAGTCATGAAAACACGTATATTTTTGTTAAAAATTTTCTTGGATCATTTATTTGAACAGTAATTTTACATTAAAAAAAATTCATATTACTTTTATTAATTTATAAACAATCGCACTGGTCATTTACATTTTTACATTTTAAATATTAGACTCTTTCTTTTCTTAAAGTTTTTATATCATTTAAATACATTTCGATGTGTTCCTGAGCCACCTACGTCCAAATTTTTGCATCATAATTTGTTGCTTTATTTGGACGTTGTCAGATATGACGAATAACGAACTTACGAATATATTCAATATTATTCATTTCTAGTATAATCTATATTTTTACTGTGAATTCAGAAATTATCAATATTTTCTCTTTGAGTGTTTACATAATATAAGCTCTGTAGAGATATTATTAATATTTTATACATCGGTTCCACCTGCCATACTCTTCTACGGGAAAAAATAATTAAAAAAAAAAACATTTTTACATTATGGAATCTAACGGATAAATTATATAAGTTTAAAATTAAATACAATTACAAAGTATTTTCGTTAATATTTTTCTTAATTTTCATTTTCACGAATATTTAAATTAGAATTTCTATTACGCAATATGTATTACGCAATATGTATTACGCAATACGTATATTCAATTCTAATAAGAATCTATCCGATATTCTATATTTGTATATTTTTTAAATTCTAGAAACATATTTATTGTAAGGATACACAAATATAATTTATATATCATAATAAGACTCTATATAAGTTGAAGACTTTTATCAAAGCTAAGTCTAAAATAAGTTTTTAACTTATTTATTAGATGGATTTATCATTTCAATACATTTTATTTAATTTAAAGTTGTTCCAATTAATTCCAATAATACAGAGTGCATATTATTTCGAGATTTTTTAAAATTAAAGTTTAATTAACGTCAATAATATATTATCAAACATTTCAATTTACATAATGATTATTTCATAAGTAGTATTTAGTGAGGAATTATTTGTAAATATTTGTATATTTTAAATAATTTATACAATTTTCTGAACTTTTGCACTCTAAAAATAATGAAAAAACAATGTTTTACAAATGATTATACGGAGTTTCCGTCCCATTAATGTATTTATTGTTTTTTTTTATAAAATCTATTTTTGCATTGATCCAAAATAACTGTAGCAATACCAACGAATACACTAATTTACCAGCATAAATAAATAATTCTTTAAAACATAAAATAAAATAAAATAAATTTTTTTAAAATTTGTTTTACAATGTAGACAATAGTGGCAAATTCTCATGTAGTGCAATTAATATTTTTCATAAATCTATCAATGATTTCAAAACAAGTAAATAAAATTATTTACTACTTATTTTAAAGCTCCATTTTTAGTAAACTAATAAAATATGTTTGCCTATATTACAATTAATATTTTAATCATGTTACGAACATATAATGAATCATGAAATTACAATGCAATATATAATTTACAATGTTTATTTATTAGTAATTTAGGAAATCTTTTATAATTAACACAGCAAATTTATAAATAATTAATTAATATGAATAGGAGTCATCTACGAAAGACAATTAAAACGATTATTTAAAATTATATTACAGTTCAAAAAATTAATTTAAAACATTAAACAACAAAAATTATTAATATTTTACGAAGAATAGTAAACAATAAGAATTGTTTAAATGTGATTTTCTTTACATTAAAAATAGCCTTTTAATTTATTTTATTTATTATTTTACTGAAAATTTTAAATTCATTAGCTTATGCATTATTTATCTATATTTTTTAATTATATATGCAAAATAAAAAATCTTTTCTTCTAAAATTAATCGTAAAATTAGACGTTATATATATATTTTTATTAATTGTTACTAAAAATTTTAATTTACATATTCATTGAAACATATGTTATTGCCTTTTGATAAAATTTTTTATCAAATTAATCATCTAATCAATTAAATTGATTTATCAATTACTACCATTATTTTATATATCGTATGAGATTTTTTAGTGCAATAAAATGAAATATCTTTAATATTCAACTTCAATTTAGAAAATGTTATAATATATCGCTTTATATTGCGTTCTTTTAGTTTTCCTAAACCAAATTAAATTTGTAATAATAAATAATAAACAAGAATATGAAATTTAATAATGAAAATATTTATAAAATAACCTTGAACACGCCTGTTTTATTAAAAACATTGTATATTATATTTTATTTTCTTTATTTTTTATTTATTATTTTATATAACGTTTGGTTTCAGGAAGAACCAATTGAAATTTTATGAAAATAGATTACTTTATATTTTATCAAGACTTTAATTAAAATAAAAGTCTAAAGGCAGAAGTCTTTCAAAGATGTTGAGAGTCAAAGGTTTGATATTACATAGTTATGGTTATATATTTATTTGAAAAACTTTGATTCATTACGGCTTGAAAACTTTTAAGTTTAATTCTGGTGCCCATTAACACTTTAATCAAGACCTTCTAACTTACAATTTCAGCTATCTTATATTAAAATGCAGTGAGTATCAGTTTTTGTATTTTACTGTATTTTACTTAGATTTTACTGAATTTGAATTGACTTTTATAGAAATGTGAGTTCGATAATAAATTTTCGGGTCTACAAAACGCAATTGGGTGTTGGTAAGATTGTCGCGAGTGTGCATAAGTTTAATGAATTATAATTAAAAGCCAATTAAGAAAACTATAAATATATTAAATCGATATGTATTACATAAAAAATAAAAATCAATAGAACGTTAAAAAAATTGAGATCTATGATTTGATATCAAGTAAACTTTTTATATGTAAAAAATATTTTTGAAAATAAAAACAACAGTGTTTTTGTTTTATAGTAGAATACGTAGAATGTTAGTTGAAAAATCGTCTACAACCAAATATAAATATGTTTTTAAAAATTGTAATACTGTTTGTTTGATAAGTATATACTAGCAAAATCGATGAATATTTGTCGAATGTTTCACTTATGAATAGTTTGAAAAAAGTAACTTTGAGATCACTTCTAGTGTAGAGTACAAATTTATATTGTAAAATTTTCAACACCCCCTTAGGCATCTGATAATAAAAAAGAAAATTCAAGTTTTTGAAAATTCTAGAGTGTTACTATCCTTTAAATAAATATTATTGTGATTATTATTATTAATAAAGTTTAGAGTAATTTTGTAAAGTTATAAAAATTTAATTGTATTAAAAAGATTATTTTGTTTTATTATACTGAGCGTAAAAAACTTTTCATAGATTACTTTTAATTAAAATATACAAATATCTCATATTCAAACTTAAATTTGAATTATTAATGAAAATAAATCGTTTATGTTTTTGTGTAAGGGAAAATGCTAGTTTTTACAACCAAATTAATCATCATATCGTACGCAAGATATGCTTTGTTGTAATATTTGCAATTAATTTGTTACTAAATATAGGTGAGATCTTTTCAAGAATTTCTAGTGGAGGATTTGGTAGATAAATTAATAAAGTAATAATTTCGTAATTAAAGTGCTGATTGGTAAATTACCTACCAATGTGATACTTTGTAATTGTATAGTAATATAATCTGAATTATTAATCGAAATTTCATATTTTTAGTAAAGACTTTATGAATTTTTGGTCTCAAAATTAATGAAAAAAATTATATTTATTTATTATCAACGGAATGTTTGGGATTGAGCACACTTTTTACTTTACGCCAAATCACGTAATTATTGTAGAAAAAAGTGTTTAAAGTTTAAAACCATTTTTTTTTGCATTTAGTAATCTTATATATCATACTTATATGCCGTAATAGAACTTAAAATTATTGCTATTACAATATAATTTTGGAATAAATGTACTTTAAAAGTACCAACAAACACGTGTTCTTGTATAGACAGTTTTATGTTGTATTTAAAACTTGTTGAATAAAATCTTAACAACGAAGTAATATTAAAACACTAAATATCAGATAACAATCAACATTTAAAATTATTGATATATTAATTAAATTTCTTCATAATGAATAATTGGAAATTTATGAATGACTCAACTATGAAATTTTTAACAACGTGACTGGTTTGTTTAATTAAATTCAACTATCATCAAACGATGTTACGCAATTGCGATTTTTATCAAGAATATTTGTCATTCATTTGTATAATAACTTTTTAAAATTACATTCGTCATAAAAAAGTCATCTACCTTTCTATTGGCACGAATTAACATTCGTCGTTCATCGTCATCGCGCATTAAGCATCTATGTTACAGAGAGTATTTACAGAATTGCACATTTTACGCGCTTTACAATGGTATCGTAAGGTACATTGAAATACAGTTTGTTTTCCTTATTTTTCGTTAAACATTACTAGACAGTTGAACAACAGTCTTTCTGTGGCCACGGATTCGTCTCGAAAGTCGTGCTCGCCTTAGAATGCGTCATTTTCGCACGCACACGAACGCACGCACAGACACACACATTATCATTATAATTATAAATTATTATTATTATTATTATTATTATTATTATTATTGTTATTATTATTATTATTATTATTATTATTATTATTATTATTATTATTATTATTATTATTATTATTATTTAAATACAACGCGGTACCTCAACTAATCTCTCTTCATTAATTCCATTTGAAGCTCCTTGACTCTATTAACGCTCATCGAAAAATACAAAAAAATTATTTGATTTTAAAACATTAATAAACATTAATTCCTTGTTATAAATTATAAATATAATGGGCTAACTTATTTTCTATCGATTAAGAAAAAGGGATTGAAGGAGCTTTACGCTGCAGTCGTCAAGGAGCTTCGATCTATCTATTCTACGATACTAAGGTAGCATTTCAGCGAGATCTTACGACAAATGCAAAAGTCAGTGATCGTCAACTAGACGCTATTAGAAATAATGACACTGATGACTCGAGACACCTCCCACCGACCCGCCAATGAGCATACGTCAGTGTGTGCACTTTAATGAATGTTGGCAGTGACGTGGGATTCCAACGCGGTAATTGGTCCAATTGAGATCCTCATCTCAAACGACTCGAGGTCCAGTGGCTCGAGAGTTCTTAGGTCTGCTACAAGGACGACTCTTTGCGAGGCTCGTTGAGCTTTACGATAGAGGCCGAAGTGGACCGATAATTCCTGAGCGGAGGTGGAACACCCGTGGGAGCCTCTTCGAGTATTGGTCAGAGAGTCGTGGTGCGCGATATCGCGGTCGAGGGCAGCGGCGGTGGTGGCGGCGGTGGTACTGGGGTTGGCGATATCACCACGTCCGGCTCACCCGCGAGATCGCAGTCGAACCTCCAGAGGATGCTCTCAGGGTGGTCACCTCCTGTTGATTTAAAACGAATTGTTGCTATAGCCGTGCTTTCGCTAACGCGTCATTATAAGCGTATGGGATTGACAAGTGGCTTTTCAGTCTAAGTGATATTATCAACAAAGATATTATCAATGAGTTTATCAATAAATTAATTGGAAATCGCGATCGAATGACTTTTCTAAATTAAACTTTCTTGACGTCTCCTACAAATGAACGAACATAAGCTTGATAAGTCCAATCTAATTAAAAAATGGCTAACACGACTGATCAAGCTGTACGTCAATTGGGACATATAAATAGTTGCTGATGCAAGCGAGTTTTTCCACTCGTGGAAAAATCCGTATACCTTGAGCTAATCCGATGCCGGAAGAGACTCGATTCTGCTTCAGTACTTCCTGCTGCTGCTGCTGCTGCTGCTGCTGCTGCTGCTGCTGCTGCTGTTGTTGCTGCTGGTGCTGCTGATGACACTGGCGTTTGTGCGAATGACCGAGAGTGTGGGAGTGCGATAGGCAGTGTATGTGATGTGTGTGCGTAGGTGTGCCGCGGCATATCTGGTGATGCTGCTGTTGCTGATGCTGATGCTGTTGCTGCTGCAATGACTGCTGGCGATGCTGCGATAGAAGCCTGTGCTAGGTGTCCCCGCTGGGCTCCGCCGCTATTTGATCGTAGCTCAATGATTTCTTCATCTCCGTCATCACCAACGCACCAGCTTCCTGCTGCAATGAGTAAAGCAGCGGCGACAAGGACGCGTGTCAGTATCGATCTGCCAATGTTAAGCTCGTATTGCCACGGGATTCAAATCCCTCTCCCATGTTCACGTAAGCTTTTTTTTTTCTTTTATTTTACGGATGAGCGGCTATAGTTTTAATGCTCCAACGCACTACGATACGACTGGGACGAGCTTTTACAGTTGGACGTCTTAGCGCGATATCGGCCGCTCGATGGGCGAATTTTCATCCGCCTTGGGGAGCGCAGCTCCGCAATACTACCGAGGCTCGATCTAATTTTCAGGACGGCACTTGGTAATGTATTTGCGTAATATCGTCGATCGAGCTTATTTCACGTTGATCGAGCTGGCTTTAACAGCCGATGCTCCTCCGTATGCTTTCACGATCGAATAACTAATGCGATGGTGCTTTTCTTTTTTACGAAAATAGGCTTTCAGCAGGCAGAAGTAGCAGCCGTATTAAATAATTGAAGTATGAATTTTCGCATTGCGAATCCGGTCTATTGTTGTTATTGGCGGGATCAGTGAGTATTTGCGCCACGTGTTTTTCAAGCGCGGAACATCGACGCACGGGTTGGAAAATCCGTCGAGTTGAAATTGTGAAAGCCAATTTGAAAGAGGTCGTCGGTAGCCGCTCGAGACAAGAACCGGAAATTGAATAGTTTCGTAAAGCTGTTCGGCTGTCGTTGTGCACGAGGAGCAATCGAGCCACCTTAATCCAAGAGTTGACGCAAGTGCGATCGCATTATTAAGTCTTCAAGCCCCCCTCTCGCCCCACTACACCACGACCGGCCCCGCGCCCCACCAACGAGACGCGCTTCTTATTTTCTTATCTTCTCATTTTATATGAATGGAAAATAAAATTTTGTTTCATAATGCCTTTCACCGCCCCTATACAACAATATTAAATTTCTTTTTCAAAAGTATCTTTTTTTATATTAACTTTTTATTTGCTGTAAGACGTGGTACGTGTGCTGTAAGGTTTATTTTCTATGTCAATTCCAATGTACCTTCAATTTGTCTTTATTTGGATGAACGCGCAAAATAAACATAACAAATAAATATTAACTATAGAGCATCGATTGAGAAAGATTTTTTTCAATATTAATTTGGTAGTTATCGATTTGTTTGATTAGTTATCACATTTTTACCATAGCTTTTACTGAATTATTGATTATTTACATCTTCAATGGTAATGATGAGCTGCAAATCATGATAATACAATAATACTAACAATAATACTACAATTGTTACTTCAACTTTCATATACCTCAATGCAACAAAGATTGTGATGTATAACGTGCATAACGTGCATAACGTGCATAACGTGTATAATGATTCTTTACGTAATATCTACATTATCAATATTACTTACATTGTTTTGACGTTCGATAAAAGTAATAACTTTTATGTTGGAAGGCATATATTTATTACGTTGGTATTAAAACGGAAAATCGATGTTCCATACAAATGTTCCCTAATACACAGTTTATTTGGTAATTATTAAAATTAATACGTCTCTTTAAATAAAAAAAAAAAAAAAATCCTTTATACTGGCAAATACACAGCGGGATGTCAATTGTCCTTTAGTATAGCTCTATTCACTTGATTATTTGATTATTTGATTATACGAGAGCCTCGTAGAATATTTATTGATTATTTGGTGAGAGTGATAAAATAATAAAATGAATGGATGCTGGCTCGGTATTAATCGAAGATTTGATACACGCGCATTTACAATAGCCGAGTCAAGCATTTTAATTATGATACCAATAATTAAGGTAAGTGCGGAGCATCGGTATTGCATTATTGATGGTGACTTGTTAAGGAATTAAAAGCTCATCAATTCATGGGATTATCGAATCACTAGAACAGGTAATATGGTAAACTATTATCTTTTCGCAACGAGTGCTTTCAGCCTTGTTTTTCCCCTTACATTCATACGATTCGAAATTAATTCACGAGTACGAGTATGAAATTACATACATTGCTTACAAATTTATAACAAGCCGAACTATTGCGCGCTGATATATTTAACTCCCTATTAAACAACTTGTTTAAACAAACGTAGAATTTAGATTTTAAACAGATATAATACATCCAACATTCCATATTCATCTAATTCTTAATTCTCATCTCTTATTAGCTCCATTTACATTGGAATTTAATTCGAATATTGAAATGTAATACGAGTTTAAGCGTATAAGCGAAGAATTTCGTAAAATTAGCCATACGTGACTTTAATTGCATTTACATTAGAATTCTTAATATCCATACCGTCAAAACCTATAAATAGGAGTAGGCAATTTTCGACGCTGAAAGCATAAGAAACCATTGGAAACCATTGGATGTATAAATGTATAAATAGGGGTTGAATGTACCTAGCGATGGTGACTACTGAGTCTGTCTGTTTGTCTGTTTGTCTGTTTGTGTGTTTGTGTGTTTGTGTTTGGGTACACTGGGCTGTTAATTGCTCGCCGCGGCACCGTTCACACACGTGAACTTGGAAAGTTGGTCAAGCCGCGAGCGGACATGCATTAAGACTACCTACGAGTCTATAATTCACGTGCGCCTATGGTCCGTTGAGTTTTATGCGATGGCTATCTTCCCGTATTATGTGGCCGCTCGGATTCCCTAAAATGCCAAAGGGTGCCAAATCCAAATTCGAAGGTATACTGCATGCGCACTCTTTGCCGTCGTTCCAATTACGTTGTGGGATGATTCTGGCCCGGCGGCCGGATATAAATATGACGTTTTGTGCCAATGAGCTAAATCTGGGGCTCTAGACGCTACATTAATTTTATCTCCTCTATTAAAGACATTGTAGCTGACGACTGAAAATAGCTTCGTATTTTTTCTGGCCATTCACATGCAAATTGCGAACTTTGTTCGTATATTAGCCTTTTATAAATGTTTGTTAAGCTTTGCGGAGAGAAATGTGATGGATATGGGTCAAGTAAAAATTGACACTACGAGACGGTATTTAGGAATTGTTATAAATTATTCGTGCATTCGGGATGAATATTTTATAAGACCGCGATATTACGCCTTCGATAGTCAATATTTAATAGCAATTTAATATGTTTGCGGTGCAATTGGAATCGTCTACTCCCAACTCGATGTAATTATTATAGTAATAATATTACTTGGGACTAGCGATTATTTTTACTGGAGCAGCAAAATATCCCAGATGATAATATTTGTTTTTTCGTAATTTAAGACTTGGGAAAGCTCCGTCCGTCCGTTCATACCGCATTTTAATGTCCGACACTGGTGAATAAATTGAACGATTCGTTATCTACAACAAATTCATTACAATTAAGAGATGGAGTTTGGTTAAAAGAAGGCGTAGCTTAGCCACTTAGCAGCTGAATAATTGCCGAATAAAGTGTTACTTTAATCCGAATAGAGCTGCACCCGACTTCGCGGATCTCGGTATTATGAAAACTGTCTATCGCTACTTTGCTGCTAAAACATCGGGTTTTACGGGATATTAGAGCATGGGTAATCAGCACAACGGTAAGCATGAAGACGAGACATAAGCCAGAACGTAATAGTAATGATAATAAAGAGAATAGGTGGGTTGGGAACGTTGACTCGTTGGGGACGTGAGCCCTCGCGAGTCGGAGGCACAGGTCGGCTCGATAATTAAAATGTAAGAGGCTCGAAACTAGCGGACACGCTGTCGACGCGGCTTTCTCTCTCTCTCTCTCTCTCTCTCTCTCTCTCTCTCTCTCTCTCTCTGTGTGTGTGCGTGTGTGCGTGTACGCGTGTGTGCGTGTGTGTGGAGGGGCGATGGTTCGAACCACCACTCCGTGTGCGGATGGACGGGAGGAGTACGTTGGTGAGCCGCTACGTGTTAAGGCAGAGATGCTGGTGCTATATACTAGTGGCAAGCGACGCTACCCGGGGGCGCATGATCACGGCTGTACGAGACTTACACCATTTAGCCAAGGTATATCGATGCTCGGTACGTAGGTGGTCTCCTCGTGGCTCTGGCAATAGCGGCTCCGTCGCATCGAGGAGTGCGAGCTGCAGCGGCTGCAGGAGATCGCCGCCTGAGACGCGGAGGAGCGCAACTTGGCAGTGGGCCGCTGACGCGAGCCGCACCGCACTGCGAACCGCAATTCCGAGGCCATCTCCACGCACAAGGACTGTGTATGTATTTATGGATTTTTCGCATTGTTTTGCCGTCGCCAGTGTTGTTTGACGATTGCCGATCTCAAGGACAGGGAGGTGGACAGATTGAGAGGGGTATGGGAGGTGGGATGGGGAATGGGGATTGGGAGGGGGTGATTATTGATTGTACGGGGGAAGATTTGCGCATGACCAGCGAGCAGCGGACGGGGAAGGGGATGGGCGAAAAATAAAAAATACAAACGACACAGAGCATTAATGCCAGACAAGAAGGTAACGTTTCTCTCCTGTCTCTGTCTGTTTCTGTGTGCGTGCGTGTATCTGCTGTGCGAGCGCCTATGTATCAATCATTTGCACGTCACACTCGTATGCATTTATTACGTCGATCAAGATCCCGCGAGTGTTGCGACGGAAGCTGCCTACTTGTCGTTCAGTTTATATCAAACCGCGATTAATTAAATGTCAATGTTGCAAAATAATACCATTCCATTGCTAAACGCGCTGCATATTGAAGTTGTTCTCCTTCACTATTTTCTATCCTCATTATCATGCTTATTTCTTTATTAATAATAACGACGTTATTTTCTAATAAAGAAAGCGATGGTCGTACTGCTACGCTTGTTAAATAAGTAATGTAAATATTACGTCTATGAAAGTTTGCGGGAAATGAATGCAAAGTTAGTGTGTAAGAAAACATTATTTATACTTTGGTATTAGCAATAGATTTAGATTTTCATCACGTTCATTACCGCTTTCGGGTAGATTTAGTAATCCCAATTCGAATTTTCAGTCTAGCTTACGGAGAGGCACATAAATATACGCGTATAAGAGAAAGAAGTATAAAGTAAACTTCGTCTTTGTTCCATTCGAGTGGGAGACCAAAACTACCTTGAGGGCATTTTCCGCCTTTAACTTTTCCTCTGAGCCGAAGCTCATCTACGACCTTTCAGCAGCTTCTCCGCAGTCACTCACTTCAAACACTCTTTTCTCATCTCTTCTCCGCTCAATGCATTTTATGTGTTTAAAGTCTGGTCCACATTAAACTACTTGTGTCTCTGTCTAGTAATGCACGCAGATGTCTATGTAAGTGTCAATTATTGTTAAGAGTAAGAAAATTCAATCATGCAATATACATATCTTTCACATCATATTCACAAATGTATTGATGTAAGTGTGTACGTGGACCAGCGTATTTGAATATCTGTCGTGTGTATCAAATGAGTAAAAAATTATAAGAATAATACATTTTCACAGAGTGCTATGCATCTGCAATGACACACGTTCGACTATATATATATATATATATATATATATATATATATGCATAGCACTCTGTTAAAATGTATTTAATATATATATATATATATATATATATATATATATACAATGTACGTCTTACTAAATTTATAAATGAAATCAACAAGCTAGAAAATTCAAGTATTTGAGCTAGCTTACCCGGTCGGATTGGACGTTCTTCTTTGAGTTCCAGCAAAATTCCAAAATTGCTACCAGGATTGCAAGAGCTAAGCCGCAGAGTAAAACTACGAAAACCCCACCTGCAATATTGAAGATAAAAAACCTATTAGACTACTCGTTCGAGTGAAAGAAATAAATTTTCTGTACTTATAGTAGACGTTATTTCTTAAGTACATTTTAAGCAATAATTATTAATTGATGCTGATAACTTGAATCAATAAATAAATTCGTATTTTTATGAACAAAAGTGAAGCGACGGTGCGAAAATATGTCGTAATATATTTTTTAAGATAAGCTATTAAAAATAATAATTATTTTGAGAAAATATAGATAAGAAATTTTCATTTATTTTATTTTTCTTTATTCATAATGGCATTTTCTCAATTGAAATTATAATTTTTAATACTTTCTAGAAAATATTATATTTAATTTATGAAATTAGTTATGCTTATTCAAAATTTCATTGTAAATCTTAAAGTATAATCGAGTCTTTTCATTAAAATTAAGATATGAATTTGAATGTGGCCTATTTGCTTGAATTAAGGAACGAATGGAAACTATTATACACGATTATATTAACGAAGAGAAAATTACGTGGTCTCTCGTAATTATAAAAAATTATGGCCTGTCCATAACGTTGTAACTGAAAAGTTTTTATTCGGAAGAGTATTTTTTATATCGGTGCTTTTACCTGTTAATGAAATGAGTGCAGAAGAGGACGGATACGTGGATGAAAAGGCAAGAGAAAAGCAGTAGTATAGAAAAATCAGGATGAGAAAAAAGAATTTAAACACAGAAAGAAAATCGTGCTCACAATATCTAACAAGCACAATCGACCAACTGTTCAAATCAGGTGTTCTCTCTCTCTCTCTCTCTCTCTCTCTCTCTCTCTCTCTCTCTCTTTATCTATCTGTCTAACTATCTATCTAAAGTTTCTTTTCGCAGGATTTATCCTCATCCAGCTTATGACTTTTTATTGCAGTCCTCTCCCCCCTGCCCCTCCCCCTCATCACTGTCGTTTCCTCATCATCTGTCTATCAAAACTTCAAAGACTCTTTATTCTTTTTATTCATTTTTGCTTTTATTCGACTTTATATTTTTATTTTCCACGCATATTAAAAATAAAGTGAGAAAACAATAAGGAGCTATTTTTATCTTCAGTGATTATATAACTTTTTTCATTTCTCGTAGTCTTTTTAATATTTTAACATTAGGTAAAATTATGCTTAACATAACAAATTTTTTATGTTTTGTTTTAGTCGTGCTCAAAAGTACCTTTTCGATGAGTTATACATGTTTTAAATGATATTTGTGTGAAATTCATCCCATTGAATGTGAATTAACTTTTTCAATTAAATTTTTCTTTGTGTCTTATCTGTTTTTAATCTTATATCTATTGATTCTTACACAGATCGGTTATTAATCAAATAAAATTATATTTCCTATTCATTTTTGTAGGAAACACTCAAGGGCACGATTAAAATTACATTGCAATTATAAATTAATTTTCTTTTATAAATATTTATCGATATTCCCTAAATCTAAGTCTTAATTGATTTTTAATAGCTTGTGATTACTTTCGATTAAGAGCATTAAAAACAAGTAGTCACTTGTGCATAAATATAGTTTCTAAATATCTCGTATTTAATCATCTATAATTTAATTTATAAATAAGTTTGTTTGTAAAAAAATGATGGAAAATGTTCATGTTCTATTTATTACAGAGAATTGTATGCACAAACATAATAATAGTAATAGCAAAAATCCAGTGAGATTAATAAAAACTAATAAAACAATGATAAAAGTATAATCGTCAAATGTTTTGTGTCACATCTAATATTATATTTTGTATTCTTGAATTATATGCGAATATATAAAGCTTTTCTTCATAGTATAAAGTAAAAGAGATTACTTCATAATAAAAAAAAACTGAGCAATTCAAAGTCTAAAAAAGATAGTAGAGAGTAACCAAGAGTGAAATAGCTATAATAAAGTTTACACGAAATACTTTAGTGTAAAATTTCTACTTTGTCAGTAAAGCTTTCTCATTTGAAATTTGACTAGAATTGCCAGGACGTAACGTTGAATACTATACTGAATAAAGTCGAATTATACCCCAAATGTAGCTATTCCATTCCTATCATTCTCGGATTGGTATTTTATCCGAAAGGGACTAAAATTACACTTTAAAATAATTCTGCGTGTTGATTTTTGTAAAAATAATTGCGCAACTGCGGCCTGAGCTAAGCATTCGAAAGACATTTGCATAAGACCCAGCGATTCCCTTGATAAAATTCACAAATATCGAATGAAATTAAAAATAAAAAAAAAAAAAAAAAAAGACGAAACAAAAGAAGAAAAAAGAAAAGAATCGCCGGCTTTTGCGGCTCTCTCCCCAAGATACTGAATTCCTCGGTCATCGTTGGTTGTATAAAAATGGTTTCGGACAAAAGAAACGGGATACTTGGCGGGGGATCATGGTCACTGTGGTCGTTAAGGAAGCTCCGGCGTTATGCCACCAACGAGGGGAAGGGACAGCCTACATTTTGTGTGCGTATCTTTTCTACTGGAGTATCTCTGTATGCGCGCGCGCGTACGTGTGCTACCGCTCGCTGGATAACTTCGTTATAATTTGCCGGCAATAACTTTGCACTCGTGTGTTTAATTCAAGCCCTGGAGCGCGTTATGGGTCATTCGGACATTCTTTTCGTCGAGGTAGCACATGGACTCGGCTGTGAATTCCAACCACAACCGTCTGCCACTTGTTCTTCACCATTTTGTTCCTCAGATTCTCGTTACAATGCGTAATTGTGCAACGTGTGGCCGAAATATTTCCGCCCATAAAATACATGCTAAGTGCGCTAACTGACAGATGATTCAATTCCTCCTCAAGCAACATTTCTATTCCTTATGCTTTATGATGCGCGGATTGTTTAATTGCATAATCGTGGATTAATTTCAATCGAATTAAGAACTTAAACACCAATATCTATATATCGCAGGTTTTAGATATAATCTATTTATGAGATTTCGATTATTTATAAAAAGTTGTTAAATATAAGTTGTTATGATGGTTATCAGAGTGCTTAATATGGTTAAGGATAAATAAAAACTTATTGAATTATTAGTTTAAATAATTTATAACGGCCCAGCAATTATAAATACTGTTTTAGGCAAATTCGAATTTTAATTGTGTGTTTTTATCATGTGTTATTTAGTTATGTGTAGCGTAAGAGGGAGGAGCGATGTAATTTCTCTTAGTAATATAAGCTCGCAAGTTTATTCGAAAAGTCACGACTTTACCTTTTTCCATTTTTTTCTTTGACTTTGTAACGGTGAAATTTCACTCACTTATATCATATATTGGTAATATGTTGGCGTTCGTATTCATGACGCCATATCCTGTCGAGATACAAATAAATAAAAAGCACTTGGAAAAAAGAACATCTGTAACCACGCATGCGTACGGTTAATCTTTTTAGTGTATAAGCTTGAGAATGCGCGCGAGCGCGCTCACACTGGCGTACACATACATCCAGAGAGTGAGTGAGAGGGTGGGATTGAGGGTCGGATAGAGAGGGAGAGAGATAGAGAGAGAGATAGAGAGAGAGAGATAGAGAGAGTGAGTGAGAGATAGAGAGAGAGAGAGAGAGAGAGAGAGAGAGTGAGTGCGTGAAGATTTGTTAAAGCGCTTACCGATGTTTTCTACACCCAGAGCATTAGCTTTACTCTCTTTACTCTTCTCATCTCTGTTACATACGTCACCGGTATTCTTCCACCACTTGTCGTAAAGAATTTGAATAACACCCTTTTCCTGTAGTTCCAGAATGGCCAAAGATATTTTATCTCTCCACGGAGAACCTACGAACAGATTTTAACATTAAGACAGTTGAATGCTTCCTTATTAGTCTAATGAGGATTCTACGAGACAGTCCGTTATGGAATCTTAAAAAAAATTTGTACGAAATTAAGGATGCGTTTATGTCCAATGAAATTAAATTTCTTATTTTTTTCTCTCGAGATCGTCATTCGTAATGAATGACTATATTGGGAATATTATGCATCACTATAAACTGTAAACTCAGTGGTTTAATTACATTATTCGTGCTCGACAGAAAGTTTGTTCCTTACCTTTGGGCGTAGCTATGCCATACCCTTTGCTGTCCAGTAGGCCTCCTATTTGCGTCAAGTTGCAGTCCCTTTGAACAGCGTAATCTAGCATTGTGGACTCCATTAGGAACGCGTAGTTCCCCTCGAGAACCCGCTTGACGCCTTCCTCGTAATCGGAGACAAAGACGGATGGCTGCTTCGATTCCATGAACCTCCACATTTTTTTGTATATCGCTATTTTCGAATCCTGCCGTTGAAAGCATAAGTTATTTATTATCATTCGCAAGGCTTTGAGAAATTTTTCATCGTCATTGGCCAATAAGTTTATTTACTCTGAAGAAGGTCATGGTGCTTCCGCCTTGTAGAGTGCCATAGGGTATGTCAGTTTGCTCGGCCAGGTCGGCCGCATTCTCGATCGGCGTGATCATCCTCTCGACCGTGAGGAAGGCAGCGAGGTTGGCCGTGTACGAGGATATAATGATCAAGGTAAAGAACCACCATATGCCGCCGACGATTCTCGTGCTCGTTGCCTGAATATATACATACGCATGCGCCAAAAGTGCTGACGGTTGCATTAATTATATAAATCATTCGCCTGCTGGTGTGCGATATTTTTAAATGCATAACACGAAGGCGTAGGATTGGCGTGGCGCGCGGGCACCGTTGCATAAACGATGTCTTTAATAATTGGAGGAATCGATGCGCTTAGCGTCTTAATGCAGAAACTTATCCATCCAGCAGCGCTGAAAAGTTCGGGAGATCGAGGCTTCGTCACTGAAAATCGAATGCCCGACTACTAAAGAAAGGCGGAAAAGAGACGCATTAATCATTGATCCTTGGACTGTCAGACTTCTTCAGCTTTGTATAGTCGACTTTTCAGAGGCTTAGGAGGGCCATGCCGAGGGGGAAACTTTAGCCGACGGTTCCTTAGCGATGCGATAAGCTATGTTAAAAGACAGTGGCGCGTATTTTAGAACAACGAACGAGCGAGAACGTGCACTCACGAGAGGAAATAATGCAGTATGTCTAATGCTTGTAAAATTACTTACAAAATATTTATTAGCTTCTTTGAATAAATTATCGTGCGCTCGAATGCCTTTAATTCATGTTTAAAAGCGGGATAAATTGCATTCGATTTTGCATTTTTCATGTCCATAATTTTTTTAAATTTATGGCACACAATCGCCTCTGGCCAAGCAACTCCATAAAAAACTACGACTCCGCAGTCTTATCTTATTTTCTGAATTCGCGTTACTCTGCTCATTTAAAATTTAGTAATTCACAATCGAACAAATGCCGAGCATAAGTAACCAAATGAATAATTGAGTGCCAGTAGGTTTATAACATCTTCAAATGCCCCGATAATAATTCAGGCGAAGCAACGGCCGCCCGAATTCTCACCGCTACTCTGCCATACTTTGTATACCATATATACGGAAAAAGTCCACAAAAGTTCCGAAAAAGGTGCGGAACAATATCATCCATTGGATCGTATTTCGAAATCCATGTGAAAGTGGGATAGACTGCTGGAAGGAGGGAAATGCATCGCAGAGTTTTCCCGAGTTTCACCTGCTTCCCGTGAGGATCAATTGTAAGCGCATCAATCCCTGATATTGAAGCAGCTTCAGTGCGGTGGTTAAGGGCTTGGGTGAGTAGAAGTCGGAATCGATGACGCGTGGGCGGAATGGGGGGGGGGTTAGAGTCGTCAGGCTCGCTATCGAAAAATGCGCAATGAGAGATTTTGTTTATGCATTGAGATCAATCGCGGTTATACCATTTCACACTCGTGAAATCTTTGGTCAAAGCCACGCGGTTTTTTTTGGATTGGAAGGGGAAGGTATTGGGAAAGAAGGCTTTACGCGAGAACTGGAAAATCGATTATCTTCCCGACTTTTCATATTTGTGCACGTCTAGGGCTCGTCTCATATCTGCGTTGTCAGCTCGGTCATTGTAATCACCAATCTAATGCTAATGGTTTTTTTCCTTTTTTTTTTTTTTTTTTATCTTACTGGAAAGGAACGCGCTCTGATTGGTGGGAAAAATTTAAGTCATTTACATCCATTGCACAAATTTTCGTGAGCAGCACTAATATTAAGTTACGAGATTTTTGCCTTTCCGCTGATACCATTCCTTTAAAATTCGTTTCAAGCAATAACGAACCTTATAAATTTCTTAATATATGTTTAATATATGTTTTAATATATAAATTATTTAAAAATTGTATGTTGCCTTTCGTTAGAAAATTCAAATATGCAATTTTGTAGCGAGAATATGTATAATATAATAAATATAAAAGTGATATCGTAAAAGTGTACATGAATTTATATTTATATTACGACGTGATTTTTTTAATTCATGTTCGAAAGAAGGAAAGTACTGACCTACATTCTTCAATGTAAGAAATAAATTATACATACTTTCGCTAGCACTGCAAGGAGAATTGGCGAGTTCAGCAGAATTGGAAGAAGAGACAATGACAGCAACCCCCAAGTGTACGCAATACTGACAAGTAAATCCCATGGATTTTTATAGTGTATAGATACATTATCGGCAGTATTTGTCAGTAGCCGCACATGCTAACAGAGCGAGTAGAGCACCATATGTTAATGCTTATTATGATTATTAATGGTTATTATGTGTTTGCAATTTTGTGGAAGAATAATATGAAGAATTCTTACGTAGATTACATTAAAATTAGCGTTTCTCAAATGAATATTTTATTTTATATTCAGTAAGATTTTATTGAAAATTTAAGCAAGAATTTTTTAATAATTGTAATTAATTATTAAGCTTCAATGTGAAAAGGATATAAACAATTAGAATCGAATATATTAACATAAACAATTAATTGTTCAATGGAATTTATTCACGTGACAGTTATCAAGTGATTGTATTGAAAACACGTTTATATTAATATATATATATATATTCGTAACAATGGCTTTATTGATAACATTGAGATTAGATCAATTTATTGATTTAACTTCAATATTCATTTAATATAGTTAGCTAAATGTTAGTTAATCTAATAGATATGTAATCCTTTACAATGACGGTATAATTTTTGTTTTATACACCCTTTGTTCCGAATTAAACGTAATAAAATTTATTTGGCATATAATTGATATTTGAATAACTAATTACTTTAATAATTGATGTAGCTGAAGTTTTAATAAATAAATAATGTAATAACAAATAATGATTAATTCATTTTATTTTATCAGCATCCTACGTAGAGGTTTGTTGCTTATCCTTATGTTTCCTCTTCTTCTACTTGTCATCGTCATCGTAATCATTATCATTACAATTATTACGGTTATGATGATGAATATTATTATTATTGTTATCGTTATTTATTTATTGTTAAGAAAACGTAAATAATTATTTTATTGTAATTACTCTTAAATTTTGAAAAGAAAATTAAATACTAAATATATAACGAAATACTTAGATATCGTTACTTATCTTGAAAATTCGTCACTCAAATCGAATAAGTTGAATGGAATCGAAACTCTAGGGTATGCATATTTAGCTATACTTATGCCCACCAAGACAATTTTAATCTTCATAATTAAGAGAGTAATTAATTTTTAAATAAATATGGTATCGATTCGTCTATGTTAAGTTAATACAAAAAATATATTTTATTATTACGTAAGAAAAGAGAAGCTACAATATATTAAGTGAAAACCGTATATGCATATGTAATGTTACTAGATTATAGATAAAAAGTAAAAACAAAAAACAAAAAACAAGAAGAGAGAAATATGACGTGAAGAGAGAGAGAAATTTAAACAACGTGTAATGTAACATACAGTATCAAGTAGTTATTTATACAGCAAATGGAGATGGGACATTGTGCTTGATTTACGGAGAGTCCTAGTTAGTTATAGTAACGTTTAATGTAAATAAGTTGATGAAAGACAACTTGATTTGTGACTTATTAAACTACATACAATATTTGCTAAGTAATCTAATGTTGTATTAACATATAATTTATGATTAAATAGATGTTAAATTAAGTAATAATAAAATTTATTTGCAACTTGTACATGACTTGTACATGTCGTAACGGAAAATGTCTTAAAAATGTTTAATTTATATTCATGCAAATGATCATACCATGTATAATTTTATTTTAATATTTACATATAAAAAGTCTTTAAAAATTAGCAGAGTTTATTTAAATTAGCGGATAGCATTGGTAACAGTTATTGTTACGTAAGTGAGATATTTCGATTAATAATTTATCCTTTAGATAGAGACATTTTTATTTTAAGCCTAATTGTATGCAGTGAATAAATTTAGTGCTGAAATTTATAGAAAAATAGTTTATTAATTTTATGCAGAGTACGCATTGTAGTAAATTATGCACTGTGTGAAATATATTTCGAGACGTTTAGGTGGAAAAGCTCGTCCAACTTATCCCAAAGCTCCTCATCAACTCAAAACTCAAAACTTACTAGATCCTGGAAATGTATGCATTGCCGGGAGCGAAGTAAGTTATCGAGAGACATAGGAAAAGGACTTTCAGACGGCACGATGTAGGTGGGAAAGACAGGTGAACTTCAAGCGTAATTCACAAACAATGCAAACATGACACCTTGCATGCTTGGTTGGAGGTTGGGAAGTCGAAGCTCGTGTCTGTAAGGAAGCGTGCGCGTATAAGTGCAGCGAAACGTGAAAATACCAGGTGTTAAATCATATAAAGCAGGGGGTGAGTGGGCGTGTAGACAGGACTGCGACGCAAGCATTTGTCCGTGGAAAGGCTTGCACGAAGTTTTGTAATAATAGATAATTCGTTCGTTTGGTGGCTGTAAGTGGCGGTTATCAAGGCCGAGTCTCGAAAAATGCACTTAAAAATCTCGGCGTGAATTTACGGGAGACTGGACGCATTTGTATCGGCGATGTGTCGAGCAGCGCGCGCGCGTATAGCGTAACGGAATTGCACAATGGCCGTTAGACTGTATGAAAAACATTGGTCGTAAGGTGCTCGATTACTGTGTGTGTATGCAGAACTGGAAATGCTGTTTTATCGTGTGTGCGTTAAATTTCCATCTTGCTTTAGCGAGGAAGGCTTTCATTTCCTCGTCCATTTTCTTTTTGACCTCGTCACTTAATTGTCACTTACGAGAGGCGTATGGCTTATCGAAAACGATTGTAATGTATTAGCTATAAGTACGAAGAAAATGGAGGCCTGAATATCACGTCGAGTAATTCTTGGTGTTAAAAATTATTTTCACATGGTGGCCGAGATATCACGGTCTTTAAGACACGAATACGTGAATGCTCTCGTAGAGAAAGATCTTGGCTAATTATTTCTTTAAAGTAAGCTGAAGGCTTTATAATTTATAACAAGTGTATGGTAAAGGTACGCAATTATACGAGGTAATGAAAATCTTGTGCTAAATCGTAAATCTTTTCACCGAGAAATTAATCTTAAATTGCATACTTATATACATGTATATATGCATGACAGTTACACGGTGGATGTAAGTTTTCAATCACGAATACTTATCGTGTATATCCATATATATTCGAAAGAATATCAAGGTTTATTGATAAAGTGCATTTATCTTAATATACTTTTTGTAAAATTGTAATTACAGTTCTTTGAAAATTTCATAGAAGACTGAATATACTTTCGTTCTTTTGTAATGTCAGCTTGAGTTTTGCAATTATTTGATCGAGGAAATAGTCTCGGAGAGCTAAGATATATGACCCATTTGCAAGAAAATTGATAGCGCGTCAACAAATAAAAATCTAATATTTAATCGTCACTTCTTAAAAATTTCTCCCTTATTTCCCTAAAAATATCTACTCCAATATTTATCCTACTTTCTTTCATCTATATCAGACATACACTATTAATAATTAAGAATAATGCTTTTACTTATAGGTTAAGTTCATAGAATAATTAATCGTATTGTTATATGTCGATCGTGGATTTATAAGTTTCTTTGAAAGTGTCTCAATATCCCGTAAGATGTTCTTGCGAGGAAGAAAATGTCGAGAACGTTGGCCGAGGATTCTGCACAAAATCGAGGAACAAGAGAGGAAAAAGCCTCTCACGTAGTCAATAAGGGGGATCGAGAAAGCTTTCAACCCGATGCGCGCTGGGTGTATTACCTTAGGGTTGAGAGCGGTGCCCTGTTGCTGCACGAGGGTGCCAACAGTCAACGAAAAGCTGTTGGCGAGGATGAAATCGTTGATGTATTATGGTAATGGTAAATTCTCGGTTTCTGAGTCCAAGGAGCTGTGTCGTGAACGTCCTCGTGGCCGTTGGGGCTCCCACCAAGTGGGCGCAAAACATCAGGAATAATTGGTACGTAGGAACGACATCCGCGTTTGCGACCGGAGTCAAGGGACTGGATCAGCACCCGGGACTCGACGCTAGGAGCCTATCTGTAGGGCTCACTTGCAGCTGAGGTGGCCCACTAGTACGATGAGAACCAGGCGACGATGCAAATCGTCAGGGAGTTCATCACGCATCAGGAAAAAGATTTTCACCGCTAAGGGATTCAAGTACGAGAAAAGTCGATACCTAAAGCAAGTTTGTCAATCGACAAACATCCACGAGATCGGACCACTTGTGAACCTCTGTCGGCTTTACGCTTGTACCCTCGTTCTCGCGATGTTGATGCGTGTGATGGTAGGGCACAATGGGGTGGCCCTTTGACGTGGCCGGTCGATTGTAAAGCCATGCGCATCGAAGTTTCGAGCGAATTGCGAGAGGTGAGAGAGAGAGGCAAATTAATTAGTGGATGGAGTGGCGAAAAATTTCCTCACGTATGGATAATTGACTAATTACTTGGGCTACGAATTATTCGTTGGAGATCGTTATTTTATAATGCCGTATTCGCAATAATGATCGTTTATTGCTTTTTTTCTTATTTTTTTTTGTTTTTTTTTTTTGCGAAAAACAGCAATGTCGTTGGCGATCGCGAGGTACGGAAATAAGCTGCTTTGAACTTTACGTTGCACCTATTTGTCAAGAAATTAATTCCTTATAATATTTATTTATAATGAGAACGTTTCTTGGATCCTTAATAAATTTTAAATTTAAATTCATGTTATGTAAGCTTCTTATGGGAAATAGAAGGGAAGACAAGTATCGACATTATTTTCATAAGACATAAGGTAATTTTGTTGAACTTCTGATATTGGAGCTTTTTCATTTTTGTTGATGTAATAAATCCTCGACAGATATTTAATTACAATAGAAAGAAATGGCTTAATTCGTACATTCGTAAGTAGGTGATTGATTAACTTTTACAGAATATTTCCACATCATATTTTAATCAATTTTATTATTTTACTTTTAATTGTCATTTTTGGTGTGAAATCTTTAAAATTATATGAAAAAATTTATCAAACAACAACAGGTGTTACCTATTAATATTAATTTAAACGGATAAGCAATTACGTATTCTTTCTATTCTTATATATTATTTTATTTATTTTGTACGACTTTCATTCACTACACTTTGAAGTGTTTATTTTACTACTTTAAAAATAATTAAAAATAATCTTTCAGTCGAATAACTGAGAAATATCTCATTTAAGCAAAATAATTTATCAGAGCTACGAGATTAATTTGACATAATCCAAATTTGTTTCCACCCTCCCGCTCTCCACTTTTTCAAACAATTCTTTAAATAATTCTCAATAAGAATATTTATTCTTCAGATAATTTATAATGAGAATTAGTATAATAATTTTAAGATATGCTTAATAAATATATAAATATATTAATAAATATATGCATAATTCAGTAGATTAGAGTACTGCAGTTATTTTCAATTAGACTTTTAATTGTTAAAATAGGAACGAGTGGTTAATTAAATTAGAAGATAATTAAAATTGATTATTATTGATGCATAGACGTTTAAATATATTTAACATTTTACAAAATGATGTACTACTACAAAATATTTCGAAAGAATAAATTCAAATTTTTGTTGCATCTTGCAATGATATATATATATATATATATATATATATATATATATATATTTATGTTTATTATATCGATTGGTCTCAAACATATCGTTTTCTTTTTTTTCTTCTTTTTGCACTAATAAAGAGAGATGACAATAATGACTTAGACTTTTTCCCGTTATTTCATCCTTGAGATTTTCGGATACTTGGTAATTTCATAGTAATGTTTCAATTCTATGCTTATCTGAGTGTCAACTTCTACTCGAAATATATTTTCATAATATTTTATATGGAATAAATATTATTGTGAATAACATTATGTATAATCCCTATATGTTGAGTTTGCATTAAACTTTTTAAGTCTCCGCTTGATAAGTGACAATTTCGAATCTAATTAAGCCTTATATACGTTCAATGGAAGAGTTTAAACATTTTAATAATAAAAATAAGATAAAGTCGTGAATTTATGTCTTGCGAATTTATAATGTAATGTTTGAGATGTAGACGCAACGGATTAATAGAGCGCGTTTGATAAAACAAAGATCAGCAATTACTTTTTCATTTGTAACGGGTGTAAAGAGCGAGACGGAGATAAATAGTTGTAATAAATAAATAGATAATCGATTTTCCATAACGACAACGAGACCACAGGTGGGAGAAGTAGAGGATAAGGATGGGGTAAGGATAAATTAGACGTGTCCAATGTATAAAATCCATGGCGAAGCACCTCGTTGAGTATACCTTGGGGTTGAGTCCGCTACCCTGCCTGAGAAATGTGCCGGTGATGAACCAGAAGCTGTTGCTGATGGTGAACTGGTTCTCGACGAGATCCGTTTCACCCAGGCACGGATGGGGATTGTTCCACTCGTAAGGGCTGAAGCGTGCCATGACGAAGAGGGTAAAGCTGACGAGCATGTACGCCGCGAGGACGTAAAGCCAGATCTCCACCGCTAGGGGATTCATGAAGGAGAAGAGCCGCGTCGGCTGACTGGACGGTACCTAAATTACGTTACTCTACGATTTTAATTAAAACGGCCCCTGATCACGGCGAGCCAAGTGCCAAGCCCTGCCCGATGTCTCACTATCCTGGCCGAGGGTGGGGGAGGGAACGATGAGGGGGCCGAAGGTGACGGGGATCCCGGCGCAGGCTAGGGGCTTACCTTAACACTTTGTACTCCCTATCGATGAGTTAGCATGTATTTATGGCTCTTAGAGGACAATGTTATTATGGCTATGGGTTTGATTATTAGTTCCATGCTCGAAATTCACGTGACGGTGTTTATGTGTGTGTTTTGATAGCTCGGGTCACGCAATGACAAAGTGGTACAACTTCGTTTCCGTTGTTGTGACAAATTTTTTTTTTTTTTTTTCGATAAAGCAGAATTCCCACGGGATATTGGATTTCTAATCGCATGGACTGATCTATCTAAAAGCTAATTCTGATAGCTCGATCTTTCGAGACAATCATTTAACCAAGAAGAGTGCAAGAAAGTGAGCTATTATCTTCTTATTATCGAAGACACGCGAGGATAGACAAAAGCTTCCTTATGAAGTCTACCTTTTGCTGGTTTACTCGTTCCTCTATTTTTTCTTCTCATCTTTACGTTTTTTTTTTTTTCAAATTATCAAATTATTTATGAAAGAAAAATATCTTATAAGATGAAGCTTCATAAAACATCTTTTTTTTTATTAATGTTTTATTTTTATATTATGTATACTTAAATAAATTATAAAGATCGAATATGAAAAAATTATTATTATTTTAAATACAAAATTTTTATAATCAATCTATGGAAGATGTAAGAAAATTGCTAAAATTAATGATCGAGCTAATTATTCAAATTAAGTTGCATTCATTAGTTGAAAATAGAAATTTTTTTTAGAGCTTTTCTTACTTTGGTTTTCAAATAAATCAGTCAAAACTTTTTAAATTAATAATTTTTAATTGAAAAGCAATAATAAAATTTCTTATTATAAATATTTAAGCTACAAAATTCATTTATTTTATAAAAGATTTAACTGTGCAAATTAATTGTTTTTTGATTCACTTAATATACATTGAAATTTAATAATTTCCTATTCAATACCAAATGCAATATTACTCTGCGATGTAATGGTTTTCCTTTATATTGGAAGTTTAAAATATTTATAATAAGCATTCTAAATCCATCTTACTTTTCATTAACTATTTTTTTTTTAGCTGTCATTATTTTTCCTATAAAAAATTTTAAATAATGAGAATTTATTATTGGATTTTATAACGTTAATGCTGTATTTTATACAATTAAATAATATTATCTGAAAAATCTTTTTAGCATTTAAAATTATATTTAATATACGCTGGGAATCAATGATATTTAACAGCTATTCTATGAAATAAAATCAGCTATACTTTTAAAGCTTATATTTTGTCATTTTTTTTAAACTTGCTTTACTGTTTTAGATACATTCGAAACCGCTGCATGTGCAACGAAAGATAAGGCCATATAATACTGAATAAGTTATTCGGTATAAAGAACAGTTGGTGAATTCGTTATGAGATTTAAAACTGAAAATTTTTGACCATATATTTCATATTTTTTGTTTGATCTCATCGTCTCATTAAGAATTATGTTACCGAAATGATTAATTTCAAGTGAAAACCTTGAACTGTTTAAAAGTTTTATTTTACATAGGAATATAAGTTTAAATGTTGTTGTTTAAAAATTAATAAATATTGATGTTTACATCCTTTTTTAAGCAAAACTTAATTTTTGAAAATGTCCTATGAATCTTCAATTACAGAGATAGGAATTCGACTTTGAAACTTATTATTTTCACAATTTGAATATAAATAATTTGATTATTATAATTGATGGATATTATAAGTGACATTATATTTATATTATTACATAACATCATAGTCTTAAATTGTCGCAAAACTCTCTTTATTGAAAAAATTATGATTTTATAAATACCAATTATTCTTTCACTAAGGAAATTTCTTCGAACTTTCTAAGGTAATATTTATCGAATCATATACATTTGTCATACTTGTCTAAGTATTTATTTATTTAAATATATTTTTTATGAAAAGTTGTATGATATTTACCTTTATACCATATATTTATTTCATTTTCTTTGATGATAATAAAATGTAGCATTCCAATAATAGTGATGAGATAATCGAACAATGAGTAGCATTGATTTGTTTGTTATTACGTATATATATATATATATGCATATTAAATAAGATATTCTGGCAATTGTGGGAATAATGTGTACGTGAAATTGAAAAATCAGATCATATTAAGTAATATCTTATTGGAAAAGACAAGAGAGAGAATTAAGAACTGTAAAATCTAAAGATTATCTTTTAGTCTATTTATCTCTAATGTACTTTTATTTTATATTATAGAAAGTCGTAAGATAAAGGTGTCTATTTGATTTACTTTCTTGCTTTTTTTAAATCCGAGATATAAATATAAATTCGAGAAAATCCTAATTCCTGTGGGATTTTTCCTTTATGTAAATAAGCACGTATATAAAAATATTATTTTTAAATTATTAATGTCATGCAGGTATTAACAATTTTTTAAGTAAACAGAGAATCAAATGGTAAACTTAATCACATTACATGCATTTTATATAACTATTTGTACTGGTAACAACAAAATACCAGTAATATTTTCTAAAAGCCACGGCTACACGCGAGACTCTGTCTGCGACGTATAAATGGAAAATTTAATCCGTTCCGCGACTATTGATGCACAAGTAATTCCGTGCCTGTTTACACATATATAGAACATCATTTGAAACCAGAACCAGTTAGAATTGATGTTAAACTCTTGTTTATTTCGATAATTTTACACATTTTATTGATTTCATCGCTTTAATTATTTTCCATACACGTCACAATTCATGCTCAGGAGAATTTATATGAATTATTTCGACCTCACCTTAAATAAAATTCCAATGCCAAGGTTCATGAAGGGCTTGGTGAAATCAATGACGCTCTCTCGCGCGTAATTTATCGTCATTGACGCCACGGCGAGATCGGCTCTCTGTAATCATAAAACGATCTACTTATTAGCCTGCTATTCTTGATATTATCAATATCGAATAACTAAGCAATAAAATAGTATAAAAGCAGATTGATTTAAAGTAATAAAATAAGAGCGCATTCGAAAGTGTATTGCATATAAAAGTCAATTTCTCTCCCAAGAATGCGCCACCAACCAGCGATATATCTACTCGTCATATACACGAGCATTTCCACCCATCCTTTCTCCTACACCGTGACCCCTTACCATCCCATCTGTGAGAAATATCGAGTGAGTGTCATCGATAAGAACACAATTTATAAAGACTCAAAGTACAGTGGCTCCGCTCTGCCGGTTGCAGCTTTTCAGTTGCGTATAACAGAGTAAGTCGAAGCGTTAGTATGAAATAAGGAGTACCGCAAGGAAAATGTTTCCCGAGGGTCACTTCTCCTCTTTATTTGATGAACTCACAGTTTCTATTTCATATTTTTCTTCTGTTCTTTTCTTTCTAGCCAAAACTTTATCTCATTTAATTTTTCTCGAAATTCGTTTTTTATATTTTTATTTTTGATTCTTACTATCATTCCAATAATTTGGTCTTTAATTAATCTATTTGTACTTTTGTTGGCTTTAGATTTATTTCAGGATACGTATGTGATAAAATAAAAAAAAAACAAAAAAAAAAACAGAAGTTATTTCATATACATTTTTGTTTTATTACGATATATGTATTTACATAATTTACATTTATGCAAATTATAATCTCTAGCTTTTGCATATAATTTAAATAAAAATAATATAATATAATTATAAAATGTACAAAATAGGTTTTATTTAAATGAAATAGCATTAACAACATTAGGCTTTGAATAATTATTTATTACCATTTTAAATAATATTAATAGATAAATTAACCGGCAATAGCTTTTCAAATGTAATGGTTTTTTAACTTTTGTTTGGAAAAAAATAATCAAGATTATGTTGATAAATTATAATATACAAAATTACAATGAAATTAAATTCTTTTAACCATATAAATATTAATGAGAACTTTAATTACTATATTAAAAGAGTATGAAATTTTATTAAAAAATTCTAATAGTCTAATTTTCGGTTAATGGATTCTTGTTAAGTAATAGTGTAATCACATAGTAATAAAAAGCAGATATTAAAGTAAAATATTTAAATATTTATTTTATAAATAAATTTTCACATCGATCGTATTTATATTAAAATAAAAAATAATTTATCATTAAAATTGAATATTTATAATAGATTAAAATATGGTTTAACTGAATCATTTCTTTCTTATGCAAGTGATTTTTGAATATTTCTATAAAAGATTTAAAAGATTATCTTTAAAAAAATAATATAATTAAAAGACCGAATTTGAAGTTTTTATTTATATTTCCATTCAGTTATTAAGTCATTATGATATTTTATAATGAAGAGTTGATATTATGATTAATTATTTACAATGTGCATGTTTATTATTAATAATTTATAAATTTTAAATTATGATTTTATAAATTATGAAATTACAAACATTTCTAGAAGTTTTCAATTATGCTCGATCGATGACATCCGAAATCATCCAGGTGCAAATATTTTTCTGAAACAATATTTACTTTCTGAGTAATTATTAGAATTTCTAAGTAAATTACATTTTGAAGATATATCTATTATTGTGTGAATTACTTTTCGATTATATATAAAGAAAATTATTAAAAAAAAATATTTCACCTTATTATAATGAAAATAAACAATATTTTGTTTATAAATAATCTAATGATAAAGTTATTAAAAAGATGCTATCATTATTACATTATTATTAATATTTCTAATATTGTTTTCGAGTTCATTAATTATAAAATTTATTTATATTTATAAATATTTTAAAGCTTTGTTTCAAAATTCTTTTAATTGTCATTATGCAAATTGTATATTCTGGTAAATTATATATTTAAAGAATTTTAATTACAGAAGGTTTTAAAAGTTGTAATTTCATTTTATTTGATTTAAAATAAACTCGACTAAAATTTTTTTAACATTCTTTTCTGTTGATATTGCATTTGTTTCGACTCTTTTTAAATGATCGATTCGATTAGATAAATGATTATTTTAATTACAATAAAGGCTTGTGAATGGTTGCTAATATAGAGCATACACTGGAAACTTGGAAATATATTTAAATAACATTTCTATGTTTTTTTTTCACAGTTGATACAATCTGTACCTGAACAACATCATTCGTATAGCGTGTATATCCGGCCATGCTTATTAAATAAGTTTTATTATTGAAATGGAATTTTTTTTATTGATTTTGAAATATATTGTCTATTAGTTAACGATGACCCAGATGGAGATGCGAGTATGGGTAGGCGGGAGTGCGTCGCTGTGCACGCGCGTTGGCTCCGAGGAGGCGAGCAAAATGCGACGGCGAACGTGAGGAGGAATCGGCAAGCGGGAGGAAGCGAAGCACTTGGAACACGGAGAAACGCTTGGCTGCTTTGCCGATATAGAGACGGAGAGAGGCCGGAGTTGTGATGATGGAGTTTTGGGAGAGACGACGGGACGAGAAAGATAAAAGACTGGGCTTTTCCGGCTTACTATGCTCAAACTCGAATCAACTATGCCTACGTCACGGAGTTGAGACGCGCGCGCGCATCTCACAGAGAGCAACCGATTAATTAATTGTTGTTCTGTTGATTATCACCGTGGCTCGGGCTTTCTCATTTCATCTAAACTATTTATTGTCCTCGAGTCATACGTAAACTTAGGCAACTTTTTATATTTCATATGAGCAATTACGATTTGTACGTAACAAATTGTGACATATTATTTAAATCCTTTGTAGATTTATTTTCAATAGGTGATATAAAATCTTATATATTTCGTTATCATAATTTACTAATTTGATATGAACAGTACTCTAATATATTATTACAGTAAATGTGATACTCCTATTAAATGTTGAATAACATCAGTCCTAGAACACAAAATACTATTTATATGATAATGTAATTTGTAATCATTGTAAACATGGAGTTGAAATTTATATTATATATACAATCATTATGATTCCACATTAAGTCAAACATTATATGAATGTTCATTTTTTTTTTTAATTATTGTTTCATTAAAGTACAAAAATTTCAATTACAATCAACGAAAGCATTTAAACTTTTTCAAGCTCGATAAAATTTATAATAAATATCATTTTGGGTTCTAAAGTAGTTAAAATTAAACCACAAATATGTAAGATAATTACATAATTTAATAAATAAGTTAAGTAAATAATGGCCTTTTCAGATTTATTTATGCGCCAATAAATAATTCTTGTAGAAATGAAATAATTCGTCGAGTGTTAAATAATTTAACATATTTATATTATGAAATTCATAAATATAAAAGCAAATAGAAAACTAATAGACAAAAGCAATATAAGATTGCATGGAATGAAGCGTTGAGTGTAGGTTTACATGGTAGCGATTGACTACATTCCGTACGTTAATGCAATTAAAACATAAGGAGAATGAGTTTTGCAATATTTTCATGACTATGTATATAATGTAATGCTTTTGTGAATAAGTTTTCTAGATTAATTTCGAATCGAGCATTAGTACAATTTTTATCATTTAATAATAATTATATTTTGATAACCTGAGCAATTTGTAGAATTCTAACTTATGTAGTATTTGAAAATCAGCCTCTATATTAATATTACAATTAAAAAAAATGCAATTCGCTGATAATATTGCGTATTATAGGATAGCCAGATAATCCTTGACAGATAGTATTATGCTGTATCAGAACATAAGCTCTATCGATGGCATAAATCTTCACTTATAAATATTATTAATTAATAATTGATTATAAGCAACGAGTTAAAAAACTATATAATTAGTAAATATCGAGACTCTAGTGTCTTTTACAAAAATAAAGTATTTTTCACAAGGAATGAATTGTTTCAATTTATCCTGTGATTAAAATAGCTTATATATATATATATATATATAGGTTTGAATGAAACGCCTTCGGAATTTAAACTAGGCAATAAAAATAACAATAGACCTAGAATGTCAAGAAATAATACAACAAATAGATCTTCGGCAAACGAGTTTACAAAGGTTGCTAAATTCAATAGCACCACAAATTATGGGAATTCGGAAGAGATAATAAGACGAATTACATTTAATACTGAAAATTACAATCGAAGCTGGATATACATTTTTTGAGAAATTTTAATTAAAATATATTCGTCTATGAGCAGGTATTACATTCCCAGATATTCGATTGCCATTTGATATAATATAACTGTATATTTGATCCAGTATTTCCTGGACTCCATATAAATATATATTGTATCATATATCCAAAAAATATGAGAACTAATAAAAGTCCCAACTGATGAAACACAGAGTGGATACATAAAAGTGAATCGAGGATAATATATGTAATATAGGAAGTAGAAAACTTTTGAACAAACTATTACATAACAATTAACTGAAATTAAAACAGACTATACACAGAAAACGACATTAGACGATATTAGATATTAAACAATAATAGTAGTTAAAAATAAATTGGTCGTACTTTTAAAACGTTAAAAAAATCATTTTTAGTACAATATTTTAAGTATAAGAACGACATTATATTATCGATGAAAATTTTTGGATATATTAACTAACATTAACTATTAATTGTTTAGACAGAGCTTTAATAATTAATAAAAAATTTGCCAGCAATGTATTGCTAAATTGCAATTGTAATTGTAAAAACAATATACATATACTAATTATATCGTTTTTATCAATTATTTCATTATATAATTAATCGAAAATAAGAGAAAAAAATAAAGGATTTATTTTCTTTCTAAATATTGAATTGCGTTAAATCATCCTCAATTGAATATTATAAGAATTCAATATATGAATTGTATGTGCACTGAGTATTTTGAAAACTACGCAAGCGACAAAAAAAAGTAATAAAAATAAAGAACTGCTAACGTGTCGATAAAT